ATAGTTTAAATCTAATTATTATAATGCTTAGAAAAAGTTCTACACTCTCCATATGGACATATTAATCAACACCGAAAATTTTGTTCAAATTTTTTTTTGTAGAACTTCAGAGAATAAAAATGACTAAAGTTATGACTTTGTATGGATTACTCGATCCCACAATAATTAGTTGCATGATTATTTATTACATAAGGAAATTATGATTTACTTTCGTCCTATCATTTAATTACCTTACAGAAGTAGATTAGTGTAACATTAAAGTTTCAATCAGTTTCAACCGACAAAAACAAATGAAAACATGAAACCTAATCTTGTTACTCTCTTTGACCATCGAATAGGTATATTAGAAATATGCTTTGTCAAGAAAATAATCATAGGGAAAGATTTTCAACTTTAAAAATGGTAATATGTACTTTATCAAACTGTATGTCCAGCTGATATAATCCCCAAAGTAAACTTCGATTAGCAATACCAAAACATTTATCAACAATCTATAGGAAAATGAAATGAAAAATTTTGGAGAATAATAAAACTGAATTCAATCGAAAATGAACCTCTGGTGACATATCTTCATTATCAATTGCTGCTTTGAATAACAAATGTATTTTATCCCATAAATCCGTATTTCCTAAATCATGACATCTGTAAAAAGAATCAATCATTAATAGACATAATATATATACTAAGATGGTTAATCATACTGATGAAATGCATCCATTTTTCTTAAATTAAGTAATAATGGATATAAATCATCTTCATCTGCTTCATCCTATAATCAGAAAAACAAAAATAAAATAATTTCTGTGATAAAAACAAACAATCACGTACCATTTCTTCAAAAATACCCATAGCTGCATTAAAATTTGCTAAAATTTTATCAATAATATTTCCTCGATGTGCAATAGCTCGATTCGATAATGTAAAACTAACATCACATATACATTCAAAACATTTTGAAACAGCATCAAATATCTAACACAACAACAATAAAAACTAAATTATGACACATATAAAAATAATGAAAATAATTAAACAAACTTCAGCTGTTGTATGACGTTGTACAATATCACTCAATGCATTTAAATAAGTGTCAAGATCACGTTCACGGCGTGTTGTTGTATACACTTCATAATTGAAATGTAATGGAATTTGTAATAAATTAAGTAACTTATCAGCATCAGCAATATACTAAACATGTTTTTTCAAAATAAAATATTAATAATATATATTAAATTAACTTTTTACTTTATTAAGTAATGGTGGTAAAGTACTAATAAAATGATCGGTTAAAACTTTTTTATCATCTTCTTTTTGTTTTTGTTCTTTCATTGTTAACTTAAAAGATCAAAAAAAAAAATAAGAAATTGAAAATAAAAAGAGAATCTTTTTTTTTCATATACTTTTCGATTTGGTTGTCCACGACCTATTGGATATTCACCTGTTGCAGCTTCACGTACACAACAAACCATTATTTCAATTAAAGAATTTTCATGTTGATTATCAAGTGCTAAGAACAAAATTGTTTCCGTATAAAATGTTATAAATTTAATACTTACCATCTTCTTCTTGATCAGATGCTTCAAGTAATATATCAGTCATACATTCCCAATCTTTCATCATTGGATGTTGATCCCACATTGAATCAACTAAATAAGTTGCATGTTCGTGAAGCTAAATAAATGAAGAATATACTTTCAATAAATTTATTAGGATGCTTTTTTTTTTAGTTTTTGTATTTCATATTGTTATTCATGACTAAACTTACTTCGCTTTCAATAAAAAATTGTACAAGTAAATACATAAAAGCAGTATTTTGATTTCGTTTTTTTGATGAATTTGATGGTTGTTCAGCTTTATGAAATAATTTTTGATTAAGAAATTCTCCAGCAGCTTGTGAAATTTGTCGATGTGAATGATAAACAAGTTCATAAATATTTTCACAATCTTTATCTTCAAGTATTCGATCATTAAATCTATTTAAAAACAAATTGATTATTGTCTTTTATTTTTTCTTGTTTCATATTAAATTTACTTTAATATAGCTGTTAAAAGTTTTATTGCTTGTACAGCTACTTCGTATTCACAATCAACTGTCATTTGTACAATACGATCCTTTATAAAAAAAAAAAAAATAATAAAAAAATATTTTCTAAGAAGTTTTTGTTTCGTTTTACTTTAAATCGATTAGTAAATAATTCAAGTTTAACAACAAGATTCGTTGTGTGAAATAATGGTATTAATGCAAGTAAACAACGTAAACGACAATCTCCAACCTAAAAATTCAACGATTAAAATTTTCAAGAAGTTTTCTTAATTGATTTTTGATTACTTTATCATATAAAGTCCAACCAATATATTTAAGATAAATATCATCAAGAAAAACCATCGGATAATTTTTCATCCATTCACCAAGTTCACTTACACATAAACATCGAATATCTGGTACAACATCTCTAAATAAAATTAAGGTTCTACGATGAATTATTAATAAAACTAAATTTATACCGATAACGATGAATAAAAACACCTTTAAATACAAAATTCATAAAACTTTTTATTTCATTTTCATTTCCTTCAAGCTAAAAACAGAAAATATTTAAATTCAATGATTTCTTTTTTCCATCAAACCTCTTTTCGTTTAGTTGTTAATGCATCAAGTCGATCAGCAGCTCGTCGAGCACTTGATTTTTGTCTTTCAGCTTCATACTGTCTTTGACATTGATCTTTTTGTATACTTATTGTTAATGCAATATCAACAAGAGCTGTCATAACTTTTAAAACTAAATATAAAAGAAAGATATTTTTTATTTCAATAGATATTAATTTATTTTTACCGGCTAAAGTTCCCGTATGACGAAAAGCACGAACAGGTGAATCAGATAAAGCAGTTAATAATGTAACAAGATTATCAATCATATATTGATCATATATAATTGAATATGATGATTGTTTAATTAATAAAACAATAAATTCACTAAATGATGAACGAAATTTTTTATATTGTAAACCAGACATTATTATTGGATATTCAGCTGTATCCTAAAAGAAAACATTATAAAGCTCAAAGATTCTATTATACATTATCATCTAGGATTCGCTACTTAATATCTATTATAAAAAATTCTATATGATTAATAATATTTTTAATTCTTATGTTCGATTATGTTGCTATATGTTAATCATAAAAAAACCTCTATATTTTCTAATAATAGAGACGCTATTGCTATGAGTTAATAATGTACATTACACAAATCAAAGATATTGTGTTCAGCCTTGACTAATGATATGTCTACCGTTATAATTTATATATGTTACAATTAAGATTAGAAATCTTTATTTCATCCGAAAAAATAAAAATTTTAGTTTTGTCAAGACATAACTAGAATTAAACTAGAAGGCAATTGATTCCGTCGAAGACAATTCGAATCTGAGTAAAAAGAGTAGTTTTTTTCATTTATTAATTTTTGTTTTTAATTAACAAAGTGTCTTCTATATCAAATATCTGAATAAATTAATTTGATTAATTGAATAAACGTGAAAACAATTTAGTAGGCGAACGTTAAATTGATTAAAAATCAAACAAATTATCATAAATGATTTAAGAGATATTACAATGATTAAAACATTATGTTAATATATCGACAAGTTTCTATAAAGGAAGATATTTTGCAAAACAATATCTCTGTAAAAAATCAAGAGCTTTTTGTTCGATTATATGTCATTCTAAATTAGGATCATGTAAAACTTTGGTTGAAAAAGTTAAAATACTACGGACTTAATCAATTTTACTTCTGGTTCAATTCAAATTACATCTCGATAAATTCAGATTTTGGCCAAAACATATATTTACATGTTTTTATATAATAATAAGTCTAAATAGAAAAATGAAACAATAAAAATTACAATATAGGGAAAATCTTGGAATGCTGTTGAAACTATCTGTATCAATACAGAGTTTTTGAATTTGTTCTAGATACAACTTGGAAAAAAAAATAGATGCCTTGTTATTTACAATGAATTCATATCATATATATGATTTATTCAGAGAACCCGAAAGATTAGATTTATTGTTTATTAACTCTACAAAATCTACCATAGAGTATTAAAGAATCATTAAAATCATATCAAACATCAACATAAGAAAAACTTATGAGTGTAAATTAGTTATGAACAAACAAGATATTTTACCTCATCAAAATGTTCAGTCATAGTTCGTAACATATCAACATGTTCCATTTTTAAATACATTGTTTGTGTTAATTTTCCTTTACAACCACTACTATCCAAAAAAAATTGCATTAATTCAATTAATGCTTCATCACGATTTGCTTGATAGGAATCAATCCATTGATCAACTAATACTTGTATATTCGTTTTTCCAGCTAATAAATGATGAAAATATCCTTTTTCTTCAGATTGTTCACCAACATATGTTGTATTATTATTTCCTGTTGTCATTGTTAGCGAACCAGTCTCCATTGAATCATCATCAACTTGATTTATTGTTGAATTTGTTTTTCGTCCTACTCGTGATTGTCTTCCACTTCCACGTGATCGTCCTCTCGATGAAGCAGTTTTCGGGAGAAAGTCTTCAGTTCCATCATCATCATCATTATCATCATCATCGTCATTAGCCATTGTTGACATAATTGAAGGTGGTTCAACAAAATCATCTCCTAGTGTACGTTGCACATGTTGTCTTAATGAACGTGTACTACTAACAAAAGTCATTTTTATTAAATATCTAAAATTAATTATGAACATTTATTTATTTATTAGACATCAAGAAAAAAAACCAACAAGCACAGACCATACATAAAATAATGGTGAAAATTTAAAATAAATCAATAAATAAATAATATAGATAATTCTAAATACAATAAGCCGGTGAAAATAAAAATATCACATGAAAGGAAAATATATTTGGGTATACAACAACATTCTTTCTTTTGCATAGAAAACAATAATTTAATTAAAATTAAAATTAATCATTTTTGTTTTCAATCACTATCATCTGATTGTGAATTATTTTCTGTTTCACTATGTGTCATTGGTTGTTCTTTCATGTCAATTTCAATCGGTGCAAAATCTTTCTTTTCTTCTTCTTTAAATGCATATTCAATATCAATTGTATAAGAAAATCGACTTTGTGGACGTATCCATTTCTCCGGCGTTTCTTCAGCGTTTGGTACAGCAACTGAACGAATCTATAAAAAAACAAAAAACAAATGAAAATTAGTACTAGTAATCAAAATAATTAAATTTGATTTACTTGACAATGTGAAATAAATACTTGCGACATTGAATATTCTACATCAGCACTAGGTTCATATTTTTCTGGTAGGGGATCATATGATGGTACTGAAATTTTACATTCGAATAAATGTGTTTTATAAGCACCTTGATCTCTTTTAGGTAACTGATCAATACGCCATACTATTGAACGAAATGCTTGTTCATATTTAGCTATACCAGCTGATGCAGCCATTAATGGAATAAGACCATCATTACGATTAATCATTAAACGATCAAGACCCTAAATAGAATTGACGGAAAATTTATAAATAATCATAATAATAAAATCATAATAATTTAGTTCCTTATTGTAATTACAAGTTCGTATAGTTCATTGAATTATAGAAATTTTAATAGTTTATCCGGTCTTGTTTTCAAATGTCATAATTTTGAGATTTCGGAATAAATCTATTGTTATTCGATTTACTCTAATACGTATATTTTACATTTTAACCTTTTTTAAAATAAAAATAAAGTATTTCCTTCAATCGGACAGCTTCTTAATTGAGCTATTTCCTTTGTTTGTACAAACTCTGTTCGGCTCCATATTGACATTAACAACGTTTCTCTTACAAAAATTGTCTGTTATTAAATGCCAAAAAAAAAAAAACAAGTCGGAATATCTCTGAGATATTAACTTATATTCTATAAAGCAAACATATGACACTATCTATTTATTAATTGAATAATATTTTTCCAAGATCAACATTTATACTATCTTTAGTTTTTGTCTATAAAACAATGTTATACAAAAATATCGTTATTAAGTAGATATGAAGAATAGATCTTAAAATATTACCTTTATTTTTCCTGCTTTACGACGAACACTATGTATAGCTCCATAACGAAAACGTTTTTCGACTCGAAACATATAAACCCATGGATCCGGTATTGGAAAACGTATTTGAATATCTTCACATGGACATTGTTCATCTCTATTATCATCACGTATATTAGCTGTTTTATCATTTGTTACTATTGATGATGCTTTTGATAATATACTTATATTAAATGCATTTGATACAGTTACTTCAATTCTTATATTTACTTGACGATCAATAACCGACATAAAACAATAAACCTATTTTAAAATCAATTATTTAGCTTTTTTTTTTTGTTTAAGAAGTATTTCTGTTTTTCTTTTTCCTACTTGTAATGGTAATTCAATATTTTGTTTAGGTCTTGTACGAAAACGCATTATTTCAATTTTATGACTATCTGGTGGTATTAATTTAAGTAAATGTGTATTTTCATATTCGTTTGAATCAATAATTGATGCTAATTCAACTTGTTCTGGTTTAATCCAATATTCTTGTAATGTTTTATTAATAATTATTTCATTACGTTTATTAACTTCTTTACCATGACGAAACCAATCATTGATACCAATTTCAATAATTGGTTGTGCATCATTCAAAAAAGCTAAAACAAATAAACGTGTACGAGATTTATGTTTACATATATGACGATAAATATCAATATGTGCATAATATTCATCCAAAATTTTAATAGTTATTTCTTCTTTTAAATGTTTTTGACAACGATTACGTGTAATAGGCATTGACCAAAATAAATCATCTAATATAATTGAAAATTGTTTTAAAAATATATAGTTTAGTTGACCAAATTTAACAATTTCTTGTTGAACACAATTTGCATGGTCTAATAAAACTTGTTGCGCTTTATTTGGTCGAGTAAATTTTCTCAGTAATTTTTCTGGTAATGTAACAAGACGATCAATACGAACTTGAGGAACTTCATGATAATTTGCTTCAAAAATTTTAAATGTATGAATTTTGCTATATTGATCATATTGTTGAAGACCAAGTTTTGTACATTGATACCATGTTTGTAAGGAAATTTCAGCAAAAGATTTTTCAATTGTTTCTGGAAGGTAAAAACGTAATATTTTTTCATCGAATAATATTCGAACATAACATTCTTGCCAAGTACCTATTAAAGAATGAATTTTATATAAAATAGAAATGTTTGTGCCTTGTGAAATTGTTTATAAAATTCTTACGTGTTTCACTAAATCGTTGAAAAGTACTTTTATATAAATCTTTTTGTCTTAGTGGTACACGAATTTGTAATAGCCATCCATTAAGTTGTTGTAATTGTAGTTCATTTATATCATTATGATATGGTTCTAACGGTGCACTATCATCATAATCTGGTTCATGTAAATAATAATCTAACGGTAGTGATTGAGCTTTTTCTTTCTAGAAATTAATCAATAAGAATTATAAAAAACAACAATATATAATGAATATCAAAACAACACCAACCTCGAATAGACTTGTCACATAGACAAGACAACAATAAATACATACATATAAACATTAAGCATACCGATTCATCTACTTGTTCATTTATTTTTGATGCATCTTCATTCCAATCATCTGTAAAAAGATTTTTTTCTGGTTTTTGATTTGTCTTATTTTTAGTAGATTTTGATTGAAATATAGCAAATGGATCGTCTTCATCTTGATGATCTGTTTCTGATGACGATGACGAACTAACATCGTCACTTGTCTTTTTATAGTTTTTTGATGATGATGATGATGATGATGGTGGTGGTGGTGGAGGTAATAATGGTACTGGAATATTTATATTATTTGATAGGTTTTGTTTTTTTTCTTTAATTTTAAACATCATTTTAGAATCTTCATCTGAATCATCTTCAGATTGATTATTTTTTTTATTATCAACATGTCCTTCTCGTATAACATATCTATCATTATGATCAACTATTGATTCATGAATAGAAATCAATGATATTTCTGCATTCGATGGACAACACATTGATTGTTCGGAAATCAAATTTGATGATGATGAAACAATCTCTTGAGAATTTTTTAAAAAACAAAAAGAATTTCAATCAAGAAAATATAGAAAAAATTATAATACATACGAAATATTGATAACGATTGTGGATTAATATTTTCTAAAACATCTTTAGTATCTTTAATTACATTGATATCATTTTTTTTCGGATCAACATCTGACATTAAATTATTAGGTTCTGTTAACCAGTCTAGAAGCTGATCATTATATGTTGAATTTGATGTTGTATTGGTTATTGTTGTCGATGCTGTTGCTTGTGTATGTGTTAAATTGGGTAATGCAGTACTTGTAGATGTTAAATGATATGATGTTTCGATTGGAATAAATGATTTATTTTGGTCAAGATTTGTTAATGAATTGTCAGAATTTATTGATAGTATTGTATTTGGATCAACGTTAACATCAAATAATAGATCAATAGGAGAAACTTGAAATGTTTTTTCATTTGATTGATTTGTGCTTGATGGTATTATTGTAGCTAAAAATGGATTCATACGATTAACGCTATTTGATTGTGTTATTAATGATTTATTTTGTACATCTTCTAATACATCGAAATTAGCTTCATCCATTGAATGTTGATAAGCAAGCCAATTTGGTGATGATAATGCTTCTTTACCACTTCGAGGTCGAATCAATTTGTCTTTATTTGTGTCAATATTAAATGGATTATCATCAAATTTTTCTGATGACTCAGATAACTTCATATTACTTGAGATTCCAAAAGGATCTGTTGTTGATGTTGGTAAATCAAATGGATTTATACAATTCATTTTTTTTGTATTATTTTCATCGGTACTAAATACATCAGCAAATGCGTTAAGCATAACTTTTTTACTTGATCAGTACGCTATTTTTCTTCGATATAAATTCATTCTACAAAGAAAAGAAAAGAAAAGGATACATTATCGTAAGAATCAATTTATTATCCTTATAAGAATTTTGGAGAAAAAAAAATGACGAAGAACGTCAAATAATAGTGATGATAAAAATGACAGCGTCAACGAGGCTACATTTTTCTTTCTTTTTCTTCTTCTTCGTTCATCATGCGCTATTCAGGAAGCAAATCATAATAGAAAGAGGAGAAAAAAAGCCAAAAAAAAAAAAGAAAAACATACAGTCATTAGTACACACAACAAAAATGACAAACAAAACCGTAACGCATGATTGGATATAAAAGTTACTCTAATAAAAGAAAATTTGTTGAAAAGTCTTTTGAAAATTATTCAAAAATTAATTTTAATTTAAGTCATTTGATTATTCAAGTTAATCTAGGAAATAGTTCATAGAGGTCACTAATTTGCAAATTAGATTTTGATGACATGTGTTCTTAACACCAATTCGCTTAAGTAAGACATGCACGCAACATTCTATGCGGACGAGAAATATGATTCAAAATGACATTAAAACAAAATTGGTTTTGTACTAAAGATTTAGAAAACATATTTTAGTAAATGAAATCAAAGAATAGTTTTAATTATGTACTTTTCAGTATAATATCTTATAGAAAATATCGAGTATACTGACAGATAAATATATATTTCTGAAAACGCGTGTAAATGGGCAAAAAAAGACAAAAACTGATCGTTTTTTTTGTTATTATAAAGAAACTGCGATTATGAGAAAAAAATTCACTTTTTGTGCTCTTTGTGCATGTGAACAGGTTTTCGGTAACCTACAATTGCTTGGGTGATAAAACACGAATATTCAGAGGAGAATTAGCGATGATTCGTTGCATTTCTTGTATCTCATGAAGCGTATTAATTTTCTGATAATGGTTTATTGATATGTTGTCGTCTTTCGAGTAGTCCCACAGGCAGAAACGCGTTTAAATGCACTAAGAGCAGGAAAAATCGACTCTTTTTTCTCACAATTGCAGTTCCTTGTGATGACAGAAAAACGATCAATTTTGTCTTTTTTGTCCGTTTACACTCGCTGTCAGAAATATTTGTCTGTTTGGGATAAGATACAATTATAGTAATTGTGATCACAGATGTGGAATCAAACAAATAATATCAAAAATGATGTTTCTATTGCATTATATGTGATAAAAAAGGTATAAGCTAAGTTTTGATTTCCTTTAGCAATATCTTTCTGCCACATCAATTTGTATTGACAAAGACTGATATACACATACAGGTACTAGACGCCATGCTTTACTCTATGCTAGAATCTCAGCTTTGTATATATTATTGTTACATGGATATGTCATGAGCGTCATTATAATAAAAATTGTAATCGTATGATCGTTCGCTCACTATGAGTAGCTTTCATTTTTCTACGTATTATTCTTATGGTTCTATTATTTAATCACGCTGCTCTGGATAGAAAGAAAATTCTTGCTATCCCTTTTTCCCTGGTGATAATATAACGTGCAGAAACAACACAATATAGAAATGAATTATGTTAAAAGCAAAAAGTCGTCTCATAGTGGTTGAATAAGTTGCTGGAAAACTATAGTTCTTCTGTACCAATTGTCGATCTATTTTTTAAAGTAAATAAAAGTAAATCATCTAGAGATTTAAATATTCCAAATGAGATCAAATAGTTTATACCGATTATCTGTTAAATATATCAAAATTTAAGCAAAAATATTAATTTATTGTAGAACGTAATCCATAAGAGCAGAGAGCAGATATATCAATGGTGATGAACGAGTTTTTTTTACTATTATTTTCAAAAAATCGATTTGTAAATCTTCTCCCAAAACAAAACTATTTATGTAGCATTAATGTTAGAACATAAAAAAGAAATAATAAGTATCCCAGAATAAATTGCACTAAATTTTGGTGTCTTTTTCTGTCACTTCCTATACGTGAACAAATTTGTTCATAGATCAAAAGATAGAATTTCATGCTCTACAACAATATCAACTTTGTTCTTTTAAACAAGTTTTCTTTGTTGGCGGATGAGTACGGATGTTGATGTGTGAAATAATTTTATTGATATAGTCATTGTAGTGAATTCGATGAGATATCTTTTGAAAAAATTCAAAATTGTATTGCTTGTCCGTCAGAACGTATGTGCGAAATGAATGCATGATATGTCCACATTTGAGACTCTCATTATATAGCAGATAGCGACCTCTAATTTGGTACTATGCTGTCTTTGCGCTCATACAGACCAAACGATGTGTTCTCTAAAGGATCATATCGAACATCAGTGTATTATCACATAAGACGGTCTTTGTAATTGTCTTACATTTTTTCTTTCTTTTATTTGTATGACTTGATTCTTTTCTGTATATGGTAACACTTATAAATTATATACAGTTGCCCCTTTTACCATGATTCAATCATATTGTCTTGTTCTGGCGTAATGAATCGCGTTTGACAGTAGTTGATATTTTTACAATTTTTTATTCTACGTAAGGGTATGCTATGCTTGTGGTCATTCAGGGAAAATAATAATAATAAAAACACAAATGGTCCGATGCCATATAAAAATGTTCGAATTGTCTTATGGATCTTGTCACTAGATGAATAAATACAGGATAGCCAGATTGAAAAGTTGTAAATCGGAATTTTACAATAAAGAAATCGGAAAAAGCGGAATTTTTTTCATACTATTTCGGAAAAAAATTCGGAAGGCATTTTTTTGACGTTTAAATGCACATATCGCCATTTTTTTTGAATGTTTTCTTCTATCATCATTTTGTGTGAAAGATGTTACTGATATAGTTTTTTCTCTTCTTTAATCTCATTTATATTAATATTCGAACCCTGAAATTCATCATTCATCGCTGAATCTAATTCAGTTCAACATGTAAGAGTTATCATGTTGAAAAGCGCGCCTTCTGACATTTAGAATTTAGTTCACGTTGAAGAAATAGATTATTCAAATGGCTTTTTTCACGATACAAGTTGTCTCGTTCAGTTCGGAAAGGCTTTGGGTTCATGAGAGCGTGTACTTTCACTGATCTTAAAACTTTGTGCTATTTAATCATTACAATAGAAAAAAGATGGTGCATTAACTACCGGTAAAAATTAAATTAGAACACCTAATAAAACTCATAAAAGCTCGAATCTAGAAAAGTATGACATTTCGGAAAACTTCGGAAAAAAACTTAAAATTCGAAAAGTCGGAAAGCATTCGGAAAAAATGCCAAAATTCGGAATTTTTTCTGCCATTTCGAAAGATCTGGCAACCCTGTATCTAAATCATTTCCATAAGATTGATGAATCATATTCCTTAATTGTTGAGAAGATATTGGCTAAACGTTTACAAATAAATTCATCTATAGAAATAAAAATAAAAAAAGCAAACTTGATCAATTAATACAGTTTGCCATATTCGATATATCATTGCATAAGATTTATCACGTGTTGCAAAACTTGCAAAAATATTTTTTTCATTTTTATTTGATCGAATTTCAATTGGGTTTGGAATAGCTTTAGCTGTTTTTTCTCGTGTTATTCTAATAATATCTTGAAATTTTGAACATAAACGTGTTTCCCATTTAAGAAAATTAGCATAAAAACATAAATAATTTTGTGATATATACATTCAATCTTGAATTAAGATTTCTTTTTGCCATGTACATGAATAATCCTTATTTCAAAAATTCGAGTTTTTTTTAATTAAATAAACATATACATATTTGATAAAATATCTTACCAACAATTAATCGTTCATCATTTGGTAAATCTTTAAAAAGTTTTTGAAATTCTTCATTTCTTTGACAATAAGTTGATTGAAATGGCTAAACAATAGAAAAACAAGCAACAATAGCAAATCTAAATAGCAACTAGCATTCTTAAAGCAATGCATTTGCCTGTTTTTTTTTGTTATTGTTTTCGATATAAGAATCTTAGTAAATATTGAAAAATTAATATGAGAATCTAATAAGTTAAAATTATTTTCCATATCATATTAATATTAAATAAAAATTAGTAATGAAAAATCTCTCGAATATTAGAGCATTGAAACTGCTGTTAGAAAAGCATTTGCAGCTGTTGTTTTTCCTTAACGTATTTGTGTTGAAGAAATAGGACATCATTTCTTGTTTATGTTAGTTGAAAATGGAAAGGTGACAGATATTCTAGAACGATTTACTTGAATTATTCTAGGCCTTTTTTTTTTGCATTTGAATATTTATCAATAATTGAAGATTTTTTAATTCGATTTGAATAATGCTATAATTTTGTGTCTCATTGCAAATGATAATAATGATAAATGATGAAGATTTTCTTCAATAGTTCATGAATGTCTTCGTTGTTTTTTCTGACGACGTTCTTTTGAACAATTTTCATATGTAAATGAATGTGTATTTGATAATGATGATGATGCATTTGCAACAATACTTTTGAAATTGTTCAAAATCGCCTTTTCATTGCGATTTTTGCTGTTTAAAAAAGTATGAATGAATCGCCAAAAGTGTCGCAATTTTGAAAACATGGGAGATAATCATTACATGATGGATCTAACGAAAACTTCTATTTAGTTATTCAAATAATTAATAATAATGCATTCATTTCCTTGGTCATGAGTGATTTATTGAAAAAAGTTTTTAGCTGACTGTTTTTACTGTAACAAAACAGTAGAAAAGTTTCAGTTAGTCATTCATTAGTAACAGTAACCTAATGATAATCAAATGAGGAAACAAAAGAAAAATTGATATACTATGAAGATAGAAGAGTATACCATGAACGGATAGAAAATCGATTTTATTTTCTTATTTATTTTCTTGGATCAAATAGGTTCAATCACAAATAGTAACAAAGAGTATCAGACAAATAATATAATAGAGAAAACATAAATGTGTAACAGTTCATTAATAAAAAAAAACTATTGAATACTTTTAGTTGTTATAGCAGTCACTTGTTTTGCTTTTATATAAGTATCAACGATACATGGAGGAACATCACCAGCTACATGATAGTCTGGAGGCCAATTAAATCCAAGATTGTTAATTATTTTATAAGCAAATTGTTGACAATTTAAAACACTTGACCAGGTTAATTTACGATCATTGGACTTAACAAGTTCAGTATACCATTTCTCTATAGATTGTTTTAGAATCAAAGCATAAAAAATTGGTGTTCGATATGCTGTTATATCATTTGAATTTAATTGACCGATAAATCGAACGTCATCAAAATCATTCCAATTATCATATTCATAATTGTAAATAAGACGTGTTTTAATTGTTGTTAAATTAGGTACACCAATATGGATGTGTAAACCGGCTAAGCGTTCACCTGGTGTACTTTCACCTGAAAGAATGGCAGTAAATGAAGTACTCATATGAGTTTACTAATGTAGGAAAGATCTTTTTCATCTACCTGCTATATCAATATAAATACTAAAATGAGCACATTTGACCATTGACACCTTCGATTTATGTTGAACAATATAAACATGACCCACTTGATCAATATTTAAAAAATCTTCAGGACAATCATCAAGATTTGCTGCCATTGTGTGAATATCTAATAAATATGGCGTTTTTTGGCTATTTGAAATTCCCATATCCTAATAAAGAAACCGAAATTCGCAATAGTGTAAATCTATAATAGTTACAGAAAACAATATTCTTATTATATATAGTAAAAGTGAATCCTTAAACTTAAAAAAGAAAGTTTAGAAAAACATATTTTTTGAGATTCGCAGATTCTGACTGAACTTGAACATAATTTAGGATCAGGATCAACATCGAATTATTAACTTTAATGCATTTTAAGAAAGTGTATTAACTTTTGTAAAGAATACTAGATCTCATTCGATATCTTCAATCTACAAATCATTCTCTCGAACAGTGAGCCCTTATCCTCTTCGTCATTCTCGCCTTTTCAATTTGATGTTCACCTGAATATCGGTATCTTCAGTAAAAAATTCAAAAATCTTGATCAAAAAAGTAAATGAAAAATGCTGTGGTGACTGTTTAACAGAAACAACGAAATAAGGGAAAATGTGTGAAACACAATAGAGGCCACAAGAAAGTCATAATGATATGATGTCAAGAACAGTGTTTCGAATGGAAATCTAAAACAAAATGTACATGTACACTTTGTTTAATCAAGCAAAATGTATGTGTACATCTAGTTTTCGAAAGCAGAGTGTACCAAAGTGTACAAATCGAATTGAATTATATAATCNAGAGATTTCATTCAGTATTTTTGTCACTATAAAACAAACTGTCAAATTTGAAAATTAAAATGTTTCATTAGTGGAAAAAAATCACTTTATAATTATTATGATCAGCAGTTATCGTGATTGAACGATCACGAAGATATTTACTCTGTGATGTTATATTAGAAGCTTGTTTTGAATAAATCATTTTGTAGCGACAGAAAAACTAAACAAAATCCATTTACTTTGAAAAAAAAACCATGAAGTTATTATGAATACTTTAAATTTGAAAATACTTGATCACGATGCAACAAACGTTTATTTTTTCTTCTCTTATGTTTTTCCTAAGTAAATTGAACGAAAATAAAGATGAGCATTCGTCATCTAAACATCCAACAAAATATGCATCTATAAAAGCAAGTTGCAATCAAAATTTCATATTTTGTTATTATGACTATGGCTTCCAACTCTTCTAGCATAGAGTTGGTTAAAACTAGATTGCATATGAACTCATATTTGAAAATTCTCTGAATGAAACTATTCTGCTCAACCTATGTTACATTTTTTTTTGTACTACTACCCTTACTATTTACACACAATTGTTCTGCTAACATCAATATTCTGTGGAGAAGAACGCCGTTTTGTTCATTTCTTTTTCATTGAGCGATTTATTCTTGAATGTTGAACAAAAAAAAAGAGCCTCTCGAGTTATCTATGCTTGTTTTGTTTCTTTTTTCTCGATCGAGGTCTAATATTGATTCTCATCAATATACTAAAGTTTATTCTGCACTACTATTGATCTCTAAATATTTCTGTTTCATTTCAGATTTGTTTTTACTAAATTAGTTCAGTGCTTTTTTTCAAATAATTTGATAGCTGCTATTTTCCCCAACCGTAACAGAGAAAAAGTTTAGAAAGATTTTGATAAAATTTTTTCATCATTTTTAATCAATGTAACAGTTTCCCAGCGTTAATGCGAATTGAGTGTAATGCATCTTAAGCGATAGCTTAGATACTACTCTTCAAAGATGTATCGTCAGTGTCCATTCACCTTTAAATACGACAAAGACTTTTAAAAAATGAAAAACGATGGGACCGATACTTATGGAACACTTTTTTGTGAAGAATACTGATGTGACAGTTCTTTTAGGACAACCGGAGATGTGCAATTTTCGTATAAATAACACTACATTAAATCTGGTTGACAAGCTGAAGTATCTTGTGGTGCAAGTCTTCAGTAGTGAAAAACAAGATGACAAAATTGACGAAAGAGTTGGTGTGAACAGTGACGCTTTAGGTTCACTCTACCGCACAGCTATGAGAAAGGCAGAGTTGAGCGAGAAGACAAAGCTTCCAACCTTCCACTCATTGTAGCCACTTATCTTCATTTATGGCCACGAACAACGGGTGATGACTGAGAAAATTTGATTTTGAATAAGAGCAGCTAAAGTGACATTGAAGAGGAGTATAACTCACCGAACACCCCGACACAAATTTTGTGGTACGAACATACGAGAATCTGTATGACTCGAGTCTTTACTACTTCACAAAGAATGATCACAATTACAACTTGGATAACTGAGACATTTCTGGAAAATGCCATACGAAATACTTACTACCAAATATTCGAAGTCATGCCTGTAGGAAAAAGCTAGGCGGACATTCACGAACCAGTTGGCAGACATATATATCGCAAAACAGCGAATGGATTTTAACCTCGACTAAAAAAGATCTGGGGACAGAACATGAATAAATAAATGAATTCTGTTGAAAGCCAACTTACACAAGTATTATATTCAACATCCGAAATTGTTTCAAAATTGGTTTTTCTTATCGTAATGGTGATTTATAGTTTTTTTTCTGAGTGAGTGTCGGCATGGGTAAGGGTGTCAACTCCAGGATTCTCAATTGTGGGCGAGCGGCTTCCTCTTCCTCTCTTCCTAAAATGTTCGACTTTCTGCAAAAACCCTCAATATTTTCTGTCGATCGTCTACAGCTTCCTGATAACTTTGGACGGAAACCGAATTGTCAAACATCATTTGCCTTTCTCTAGCAGAAAGAGAAATGAAAAAAAAATAGACAATGCCGCTCCTAGGTAAATAGAATTCGAGTAGGACCCAGAGGTAGAACAGTATGGTGGTTGGCCGTCTGTTGTGAGAGAAACCGGTTCACGCTAAATTTCGTTCTGCTTCCGCCCACGATCATCACTTCTTTGACACAGAAGGTGAAAATACCTTCTACGAGAATTTTTGAACTGTATACTGAAATTTTAATCCCTCTCGCCCCTACAGAATACCGGCAACCCTGATCAATTCATTTCCATCCTTATTCACATTCGTACACTCATATTCGTGCCGACACCCTTAGAACTACAATATTGCACTGATCTAGCACAGTGACTATTACGTCATGGATATATTAATATGGTAGGTGTGAAAGTCAACGAAGAAGTGTGAGTCTTTGCACTATTCAATTCTATGTTTATTTAGTGTGTCCATTTGTCTACGTAGTTTTTTATTCCAGTACATTCTTTCTTCTATACCAGTCACTAAAGGTAAATCTGTCAAACGAGAAAAAAAGTAGATATACTCACGACCAGTGCTCGATCAAAACGTCAGATCGATCTCATAGAAGATAACATCCATCGAAGCAAGATATGACGATCAATTTTTGCTATCATAGGCGCATGATCTTTATGTTTAATAAATCAATTGATTTCTTATAAAATATGGAAATATTTCAATGTATCAATTGAAAAACTATATTTTAAAGCTGAAACTGAGCTATTAAACACCTAGAAGACTAGTAGCTTCTTCAATGGCCTTTTGATTTTCTAATGATGGTCCTCCTAAACTTTCTAGATATTTCTTCAGTTTCGTGCGTTCAGTTTCAACCATAGCTGAGTACATCATTTTTCGCTCTTCTATTAATGCCTTCACTTTTTTTTGTGCAGCTTTTGTTTCAAAAGCTAGCTGATTGTTAAGTGCCTTTCGTTCATCGTCATTTGTGGCTGTGAACATGAGTGAAAGTCCAGCAAGCCGTGCCATTAGGAATTCATTTGACATATCTACATATGTTCGAGACATTATGAAAAGTGTATGTGATGTTTCATGAATATTGAGTGATTGATCTTTCAGTAGTTCAAGAAAGAATTTGCGTTCCTCGAAGGAAATCCCGTCAGTGCTGCCAAGTTCTGCCTGTTTAACGAATGGACCAAGTGTACCAGAGAGAGCAATTTCTGCTTGATTGGCTATTGTACAGAAAAATAAAATCAAATTCGCCCAAGTTTGACGCATTGTACCAAGTAAACCCAAGGCTTGTCGCATATAGTCAAGAAGTTGAGCGTAATTTATTCTTGTCAAATCCAATGCAGCTATTTTTCCAACAAGTTCACTCATTTCATTGATATTCTTTTGTAATTCTATACGACTCGCTTCACTTCGTGTTTGAGTATCTTGAAGTTTTCGTTCGGTTATTTGAACAATCATTTTCTCAGAATCCGATGAGAAATCATTAACGCTATTCACTTTCATACGGGAAGAATCACTGATAAGTCCTGCAGCAGCATCGATCGTTTTTGTATCTCGATTCAATCTATTGAGTTCAGACAACACACGATCTGTTTCATTTCTATCCACTTCCCGTTCAATACCATTATTTTTCACTAACTGAATAGCTATGGTGCTCAGATTTCTTGCTCGTTTGATCATAGGCTGAATAATATTTGTAGCGATGCTATTATTACCAATTAATTTAGCATACGTTTCGATCTCATAAAGAATATTTTCCATTTCTTGTGGACTACCATCAGTTGTCTGATTGTTCGTTGGATAAAAGACATTATTGAATATTTGGATCAAGTCTCTTATTGAGTCAGAAAATGATTGAGCCATAAGAAGAGTTTTACCATTATCCGTTGTTGGAATTACATTCTCGCTTATCAGACCGTTTAGAGCTGTAGACATGGAATTACTTTGTCTACTACCCGAAGATACACTTTTGAATTTGTTCACTGCATTATTAATCAACTTTAAAACAGCACCAGTTATACGCATCAAGCCTTTCTCGAATTTAGACGGACGTCTAGCCAAAGCTCTGGAATATTGTATATGAGCAAAGCGTAAATCCTCTACCGTACTTTCATAATGTTCTTTAAGAATATCATTTAATTGTTTCAATTGGGTTTGCCATGTGCGAGACACATTCAATTCAATTTCCGTTTCTCGCAATCGACTTTCACGTTGACTCTTACTCACTTCAGTTAAAGCAATCACCTCACCCAGATGATTCATCACATTGGAAAACGCCATGTGTGTATCGTTGGCTAAGATAATACAATCGCTGCCGATTCGTCTAATAGTATTTAAAATTTTCGATAAGGAGAATTGAAGCTTCTCTGGCGCTTTAACTTCGGCCAACACTTTTAAAGCAATTTTAACATGAGTCGGAATGCGTTGCATGTTAAGTTGAAGCTGGTCCATATTGATGTGTGCTTTCAGAAAGGCTCGCCAACCCTCTATCAAAAAAGCAATAGGATCTTGCATCTAAACATATTTCTTGAAAATGGTTTGAGACCAGACGTCGTTTACTGAACTTTTTCATATATTCTACAATGTTCTTCAAGTCTAAATCACTCGATGAGATGATTTATAAATTGCAATCGCAAAATTTTCATGCATAAAATGCAAGTTAGACTAGCTACAATGGAATGGAGTATGAGTCGTAATACTTGGAGGTAAAACGTTTTCAAGATGCAATGATGATTCATGAATCAGCGAAGTTTATTAGTTCATTCATACCAAAATCGCTCGTGTTTTCTTGAAAAGTCTTCTAATGTGACAGAATTACATTTCTGTTAAAGAATTAGCAATTTATGTATACGACCTTTCACAGAAGTAATCTCATGACATATAACAACTCAAAAATTTCTTGAGATATACCTCGGACATTTCTTCTGCTCAAGCTTAAATTTCTATCTGTGTTACAATAGTCTTTCATCGACATGTTCACGAAAACATCTAAGTTTTAGATGCTTGATGATCTAAATGTTTTTCTCAACACTAAGCAAGAGCTTTGTCATCTATCAAAATCACTATTTATTACTTACCGTTCGAAATTTGCGCTAGAGTCATTCGAAAAGAGTCCGGGTACATCACATACTGAAACAAATGACCTGGAGCAGCCTCGCGAAAGGAAAAATCTAATTTGCTTGATAAGACCATCACTTCAGCCAATAGATTTACTGCTATTGGTCCGTTGACGATTAAATTTTCCCATGCAGAATCGATAGCGGGACGTTCAATCAAATCCGCAGCTTCAACACCATCAACATCTATCAATAAACGAGAGTGTATTAGAAGTTTATGGCGGAAAATTTTTGTATCTAACCAATCCCTTTTCTTGCACGACCTTTTTTTGTGACTTGCTTATTGGATGTTTGTAGGACTTCTATTTCAGGATCGTAGAAAGGATTTATCAGAGCATTCTTAGGAAGATCAAAATTATGTACTAATGATGTTACAATGATGGATTCCTTGTTATGTTGACCAATTACTTTTGAAATAGACGAGATTTGTAGAATCAATAAAATAAATACCCATGCTGTTCCTATGATATATTGTAAAAAAATTCTTCTGTCATAACTTTAAAACAAAAGCTTACCTCTTCGAACTACTATATTCATTATATGAATTAAATTTATATATCTAAAAGAATAATATTTGTTTTATTGCCGTGATTATAAAGAGTAATATAGGAATTTAAGCACAAAACAGATGCAATCAATCACAAGAATAGAATAACGAGGAAAGTCTCGATTTTTCGACCATTCTAGCAAACACTGGAATAGTCTTCGTCCAAAAAAGGCAATCGGGCTTTGATAAAATCAAGGGTATCACTAATCGTCTTAATTTCTGCCAAGGAAATTTGAGTAGTTCCAGCGATTGTATGAGCTGTTACACCATTGTCAATTAAATCCGTCAAAATAGCATTTAATGGTTTGACCAGAGCTTCGAAGCTAACCAAATCTTTAAGCTCGTCGTACAGAACGGATGATTTTTTTACGAAGGATGCAAGATGCATCACCACTTTACGTATATCTTTTATCATATTAGCCAAAGCAGCTTGTCGAGTTTGCAACTGAGCAAGATTTGTTGAGAGAGTGTGCAACTGAGCAGCTGCTAGAGACTTTTGATCTTGAAAACTGTTGTACTCGGAACGTTGCCTTTCAAGTTCTTGCCGACGAATAGCCAACTGTTCTCTAGCAGCATTCACTTCACCTTGAGCGGCTCCACGACGATCTTTTGCACTGTTAATGCCTCCGTAGTTAAGCACTGCACATGCAGGACGAAGAATTGGTTTTAAAATTGGTGTAAATGGACGTAGGACCGGTTTGATCAACGTATCCCTTATACCACCGAAAACCTAAACGAAGAAAATTCTAAATTGATAGATTCAGTTAAGGAACTGTCAACTATTTGCTTAATTCAACTAATATCCGATGTCAAAATACAGGTCAACTGGCAATGCTATCAACACTGATCAGTTAGAAATAATCTTTAGAAGCACTGGACAATAATAACTTATGAAAATTGTTTTGATAACTAGAAATATTTACCAATTCGAACCATACTTTCAGTCAGTATTTTTATTGAAAGAGAGCAATGAGAGGCTTACAATACTCAATCTATTAGAACAAAGAAAGCTTTTTCGATAAACTACATCTCTTGACTTATTCAATTATACTTTACTTGTTTCGAAAATTCTAGTCGCTCAGATTTGATGAGGTTCGATCAGTGAACGATCAGCTTCATGTCCAAGAGAAACTAGCAACAATTCGATAAAATCAACGGAAACACCAATGAGGTCTGATTTCTCCAATCAGTAGCAACATCTAGTGTCCTGTATGTTCATGTGGGAGACATGGATTCATGATAGTCATCTATTATTCGAAAAAGCTGAGCTTTTCAAGTTGAATACAGTAGCGAAGGTTCATATAGGTTGACTTTTTACAGGCCTGATTTGCCTGTAACATTCCAACGGCCTTTATAATTTAGTGTAGTTGTCATCTTATTTCTTCAACCTGGCATGCGAGTCTAATTCTTTTCATGCCAATATCATGATAATAAGAGAACTGATATCATATTAAACTTCATAGAAAGTTCAACAAGTCACCTGAATCAATTCAGATGACTACATGATGAATCTACTAGAAAGATATCATCAGTATGCCGATTCTCAGCAGCAGTGGCGGGATGACATGGATTTTTCAAAACATAATACATCGATGAAAGCCGCAGATCTGTAGCTGTTCCAGAAAAAAGTTATTGCATTTTACTCACCCAGCAACAAATAGTGCAACTTTACTTTTTCCTAGCTATTTTGGCTCGTCGTGTGAAGTTCACACTGCCTCTCACCCGAGTCGAAAGCGAAACGGATGGTTTTAAATAAAAAAGAAATTGGAAAAAGTTTTCTAGAAAATCTGCAAAAGTCAACTTTATTCAAAAATCTTATTTTCCACCACATTGTTGGATAGAGCATTCAATTCGAAATAAAATATGAAATTTTGCGAATCTTCACGATACATAGGACGACTGAACTAGGTTCTTTACAAGACGTACCAAGTGTATGAGGTTCTTCTTATCAGGTTCCAACAGGGCGTTTGCGGGTACTTTTGGTATCGTCACAGGATTTTCAGTAGTAGATCCAAGAGATATCGGCAATATCTTACCTTATACAAACTTTGAAGCTTTATCCAATCATGTATTGAAAAATAGTTTAAAATAAAGTTTAATTTTTACAAGTTTTCTCAAAAACTCCAATAATCCAAAAATTTTATCTAAAAAATCCTGGCAAAAAACAAGTTTTTTCTTTGCATATAAGGTCTACTTAATGCTATTTTATATAAAACTATCCCCGCACATTTTTAAGTGGTATAAGAAGCGTTATAAGCTTCACATGACGGATCAAAATAGCTGAGAAAAGGCAAAACTCTATCGCAGCACGCTGTTCAAAACCCATGCTATCTCACCGCTGGCACTAAGGCCTAATGTACTAGTGACATCTCTCTAATGGGTGTAGGTTGTCGTAAAATCAGACTAATGTGAACATCCAAAATAATATTCAAGTGTTCACTATAGAGAAGTGTTTCTTTCTGGTATGTGCATGAGTGCACGTAAGAAACAAGTAGAAGAAAATCATATTCACTTTAGGAAACCTCTTCTAGTTATTGTAAGTCAAAGAAAAAATTTACGGTTCACTTTAATATTATATTCACAAACATAAGAAGTGGTCGATTTCGAGCGAAAATCGCCGGCAGAAATTTAGTATGCTCATTGTAGCAAGTTGTTCACATTATACAGGCGTTTAAAATGGAACGTTTCACTGTAGATCATACATCTATGAATTACAATAGCCTCAAAGCTAAAAATTAAATTCAGTTATTGAAGATCTTTTAAGATATTTAGATATTTCGACAGAAATATCGCCTATGTGTGTTTTCAACAAATAGTTTAATACTTGAATATCTAAATGTCAGAGGTCTATGGTTGAATGGTTGAATATTTGAATTTCAGATTTTCAGATAGACGATATTTAGTGATTGAATTCAAGTTTTAGATTGGATATATGCGGTTGAATATGAACAGATACAGGCTACTTTATTCAGATATATTTTCTTTCAACTTTGAATAATGCTCGCGATGAATAAGTTCTGTGAGTATGCATGAAGAAATACCAGACTCAACAACGAAATGCAGAATAGAAATAAGTTGTTTACTTTTTCCTTGACAATCTGATTGCTGCTTATTTATAAAAGTTCAGGCTAATTATTGTTCAAGGAAATTGTTCCAGCGAAGTGTATATGTGACTATTCATATATAGAAATTTTGATGTTTCGATGTTAAACTCTATCCTTCACAAAATATTTGTAAGTTATGTTCTTACGTGAATAAAAACAGTGGTATACAATAGCTATTCACTAATTAGATTAGGTTTAGCACTGTAAGATCTGAGCAAATTTTCATGCTACAGTCAAAGTTAACATTTGTACAAGAATATTTCTAAAGAAATTTATTTTTCATGGTAACACTATTCATAGAATGCATTTGAGCATATTGGTACTTACCCAACCCCAGAATCGCTTTTTTCTTAGTCCACACAGCCGAGCTTCATCAACTAAAGTGATATATATTTTATTGAAGTCAAAACATAGTTCTTATCAAATATATCATACGTTTTTTTTGCTCCGCAGCAAGATTTCTGTCAGCATTTCCCAATTCGTTCTCTTTATTTCTGACATCATTTTCTCCTTGGGTAACTTTTGCTTGTGTGTCACCTAGCCGAGCTTCGATCTCACCTAATCGCTTGTTGGTTTGTTGCAATTCAATTTCTTTCTGCGAAACTGCTGACATTATCTCCAACGACTTCTTTTCTAGAGCCACACTGAGTTCTTCACTTGCGTTCAGTGCCATAGATAAACCTTTGTAAAATTCCTTTGTTGCACATGTTAGTCCTTGAGCCAATGACACAATTTGTCTAACATTTGTCTCATTTGTTGTCGGGTCTTCGTCTTTGTATGCCAGTAATGGATTGATAATTTTGTTCTTCAGCGTTTGATAAGCATTCACGTACATTGGAGCAATTCTTTCACTTAAGAAAGATTGGTACCAATTACCGTCATTTGCCTTTGACACAACAATCAACAGCAAGAGAGGTAGAATCTTTCGCATATCTCCAAGAAATATCATTCTAACTTGATACCGAACACTGAATTATGTTTCATCGACATCATGTTAATATATAGTAGGCGATGGTGAAGTTGGTTTTTCATATTTTTAACGGAAGTAATAAAACTAATAATGCAACTTCCTTGTAGACAACAACTAATGAAATATGGCACTTTTTATTGATTTCGCTTGATTATTTCAACCAATACTAGCAACGAAGATTTACAACCTGATGATTAGCATGATTTGATCTTGTTTTGCACTAAGTATGCAAGTGCTCTTAAAATTGCTCTCCTTTCGCTTGGCAGTCATATTACATTTTTTCTTTTCCCTTGTTAACCACTAATCGATTTGTCAGTCTTGTTTTTCCTAATTCCCACTTTATCATGCTCCACTGCACAAGAAAGCGATTGAATTATTTGGGTTTTTAATCAAATATGTTTGTCAAGCGTAAAAAATATACAAGGAAAAAGTCGATGACCTCATTTGAATATCTTTCTAGGCCACAATATGATTATCGATGATGAATCATAGGTCGGAATTGAGAATACGAAAATATATTTGATGTACTAAATGCGGTAGTGCAAGTTTGTGTTTGAAAACTATGATAAATTGTAAGATGTGTTCGTTTATTTGCTTAACAAGTCTTATAGCCAACGGTAGTTTTACATCAGCAGTGAAAGAATTGTTGGATAGACGAAAAAGAGATAGCTCAAGGGATTGATATCGTTGGCCAACATGACAAAACAATGGAACAGAGCGGATGAGATTTTCACACATTGCCGAGCGATCCGTCATTCTTATTTTCAATGGTTGGATTCCCTGGTTCGAATCGATCTGATCAGATTCAAATATGCAAATTAAAAATACAAGGCGAACTATTCAATGAATTGATTACAATTTAGAAAAGTTCGGGCAATGAAGTTTCATCGTTCATGAAACGTGATCGATCCATTCATACTGTTGCCTGTGATGTCACATAAACATTGATTGCGGTTTTCAGCTAAATGACCGATTTTGAGAAGCGTTTTTCATTGTTGGAAAATCATTCTTCGAAGTCCTCAGTATTTACAAAGATTCGTCAGTGAAACTAGTTAGTTCGGCTCTTGAGGTTGCATGTTTTCTTTTAAAGATCTTGGGAGTAGTGTTATTGTCACCAAAAACATCGTTCACCTATTTCTTTCTTCGTGTTTGTCAATCTTGAGAAATATTTTTTTGCGCATTGTTAAACCGAATAGATCAAATAGAAAGAGATTAGTTCCTTTCGAATGATTCTGAGTTAATGAAATGAAATGAGTGCATTAGTGAATTGCACATGAAGTGCAAGGAAATAAAAATTCATAGGAAGATCAATATTGACACAATAATCGCCTCATATATATAACCAGAATTTTTTTTTAAGATTCAGTACATAAAGTAATAGAAGAAGCACAATCAAGTTCAAACTCAGATGATTGGACATAGGTATATGAACTTAGGAGAATTTTATCTACTGCCAAATCGTTCTTGTTGCTGCCAAATTTTCAAGTTACCTGACGACTGAATGATGTAGTATATTGAAAAACAGAAGATCATGGCAATATTGCTCATCAGATCATAAGTATTGAATATATCTAGGTTCTTCCTTTTCGAAGGCAGGTACAACATATTCGATTGATGATAGAGAATGCTAATTGTGGTTCTAATTACTACGACCTTCATCAAATATTATGTTTCAATTGTTTTTTTGTTCATTCTAGATGGTTTCTTTGATGTTATCAGTGTATCTATTCTCAGGTACGTGTAAGTCTTTCATCAAACAATAAATATCAGACCATTCTCACAGGACTGGTTATATCATATGCTGCGACAGATTCAAAAACAATTTTGACGAATCTCGAGATCTGGCAGAGGTCTCGCGCTCGTCGATCAATTGAAACAAGTGAGCATTCTCTCATTACCTAATCAAGAAACAGCTTTCCCTTGCTATACACAGATCAGATCGCTGGGCTCGATCCTGATTCAGCATTAGTATCACAGTCGAACATGGATCTTCCTTGGGAACAGTTTATTATCAGTGGACCATCGACAGTCAATCTTCTTGGTCAATTGATGGTTGTTTCCAGCAAACTCGATTTTTCTTTCCGCGATTATCAGCCGGACTATACATTTGTTTACATGCGCTACCCGAACTCTTTTCGAGCCACACTCGCACAAATTGCCAATGGTAAGATAAGATATTGTTTTGCACACTTATTGGTGTCCCATCAGACTTTTCCTCAGTAATAGACTATCGATTGATTTTCTGTGTTTTTGACAAATCTTGCTGAATGAAATTTCGAATTAACCACTTACATGTAATAATATCAAATGAATTTTAATTAGTAGAGCTTTTGCTCAGTGAACATGATCAATCAGTTGTAGGAATTCGCTTTTTGGAATCATTATTGTCAGCATGAACTGATTCAAAAGCAAATAGAAGAAGATTTTCAGTTAGATTTGTAGCGAGTAATCCTAGGTGTCCTATTTCTGGTTAAAAAGCGGAGGGTAAACACTGTCGAAGGACATCTTGACAATTTTCTCAATTTGGATAGATGGTTGGCAAGCATTTATGGGAGCGCACATCAATATGAACAAAATCCGAGCTTCGATGGAATTGGTACCGAAAAATGTTCAAACAGCTTTACGTGTGTTAGCATCGAAAAAATCTACTCCTAAAATCATCAGCATGTTGTTACCCACTACGCTACTTGAAATCGAACGACTTGGTAAATCGTGTGTGACATTGGCGAATACGACTCATCTTAGCTTTGTTGCTGTGATGAACTTGCTTGGTGAAGTGATTTCTACCACAGAGACAACACGAGGATTGCAAGAGACAAAATTAAAGCAAACAGAAATCGAATTGAATGTGTCGCTAGTCATGAAAGACGAGCTGACTAAATTAGACCAAACAATTCGCTCACACTATGAAGAGGCACGAGAAAGTGTTCGTAAAGCACAATCAGAATACAGTAGTGCTCTTGACAAGATTCCTACTGGTTTCAAAAGTCTCTTATTCGACTTAGGGCGTGCTGTTATCGGAATCGTCAAGACGGCTGGTGAAGCCTTCACTACTGGCGCTGTAGGACGCATGGGCTCCGTGGGCGGTCTCATGGCTGGATCTATCACTAGCCCTGCTATGTCACAGACTTCGGGACAGACGTTGACCTTTACCAGACTATTCTCAGATTCTTTCAATAAAGCTTTGCCAAGAATTAAGCAAATTCTTAATGCTGACAATCATAATCAGTCGACATCGAATAATCCTAATGAAGAACTCGAAGCGTACAAAGTGACTTTTCAAACATTTTTGTCATCGGTTGCAATAGGAAAAGCAGGTAATTTGAAGGAGCGAGCAAGTGAAATTATTCAACAAGGTATCAGTCTTGTGGATGAGGTCTTAAAGATAACTAAAGAATCCTTGACTACTGGTGAAAGTATTAAAAACGATGTGGTTGCAAATGTAAATAGTCGTCTTGATAAATTAGCCGAAGATCTGAAACCAATGGTAGCTGCAGAAGCAATGAATGGCGCTGGTGTGCCACCTCCCGCAGATGCATCAAATGGAATGGGTGATTCTTCTCAGAATGAGAAGTTTGTTGCACAACTCTCCTTGAATCGGTTGCAATCAGCCGAGACTCGCTATGACAAAATATTTGATCAACTAAAGCAAAATCAACAAGAATTAGCCAAATTAATGGGTAAAATTGCTTCATTAGACATGACTCGCATTCGTTACAAAGAGATTCTCGAGCTCCTTCGCGAAGCTCTTCATCTACTGGCACGTATTCGAGAACAATGGGGTCAGTTGGTCTTGTTTTTTGCCGAAATCGCAACACGTGCAGAGATTACTTTGAGTGGTACTCTTGGCCCATTCATCACCCAAGCAGGTCAAGCAGGTAGTGAATCCCTCTCGCTGGAAGAACGACTCTTCTATGTAGACCTTCTCAAAGCACAAGCTGAAGAGATCGATTCACAGTCACAGATGCTCTACCTAATGTCTCGAACCTATGTTGATATGTCAACCAATTATATCATGGGTCGTCTGAGCGGTCTATCGAAAATGCTTCTCGCAGGTGATGATAGTGAGCGTAATCGTCTCATTACACAGTTGACTCAAGAGACGCAGACTAGTCAACAGGCCATCATGGATTTGGTTACGCAGCGCAAAACTAATTATCAAAATGCACTTCGAAAGCGACGAATTGAACTCCAAAATTTCATCGAGAGACTTGGTGGACCAGATTCCGATGATCAAGCAGCAATCGAAGCTGGAAAAGCAATGCTTGAGAATAAATCATAATTTGATCGCAGGAGCAATAATAAAAAATAATTGAATACCTTTAAAAGATCATTGATAGATAAAGAATTAATAAAAATTGTCAGTGCTGCTTTACATACTCTAGTCACTGACGATGATCGAAAATAATTCAATCTTCTTCTTCTCTTGCATGATCGAACTAGAGGATGTGACCGTAGTTATTGCTGAGAGTCTCTTCATCGACCATAAATCCATACCGACATTCAGTCCCACTCACACATCCAGACTTCCTGACATTTAGATTCACATGAGAACTCACACCCTCACCAAAGGTTAATAATTTCATTCTATAAAGAATAACGATCGAAACACTGAATGAATTCCTGCATATCTTATTACGACCGTCAGCAATCTGAATCTCTTAAACTCATCCTCAATCTCCGATAGAAAGTTTGTTGATAGTCGATGGCTCCCATGATCAAACGCCTGTGCATACGGACGAATGTGGACGTATTAGGATGAGTAGAAGAACCACACTTATCCTAAATTATATAGATGTTGAAACAATGCCGACGAAAACTAGCTAAATCCAGATTTGTGTGAAGGATTCGAATGATAATTCACATGATGTAGCTGCAGAAGAAATAAATGGATTGTTTCATTGAAAGGATGGTTTTATTCAGTTAATGCGACTTTGCGAATCAGACTTCATTGGTATTTAAAAAACGTTTCCCTATATCAAATCAAGAATTTAAAATTAGAACTATCAGATTTTGATTATTCTTTCGTTAGTCAGGATGATGAATGAGACAAAAAATTTTGCGCATTTTCTATTTATTCAATTGTCTCTGATTGGTCGAGAAAGGAACATTACGGTTTTCCCAAGAACACTAAGATCATAGGCAAAACATGATCGGATAGAACCTTGTCTCAGATTTCTACATGGATCAAAGTTCGAAATAGACTGAGCGACTTGATTCGTGTTCATTTGAATACTTGTTTCGACCATGTCAATGAAAACACTCGTCCAGAAAGCGTTCGTGTCATTCTCAATCGTATCGAACATTAAGACTTTACACAGAAGAAATTTATTGATCTTGTACAGGTTAACAAATAGAAATTAGAATAAAAAAGCGATAATAATATAATTCTAAAAGCAATTTATCCCGAGTGAGGAGTATGAGTGATTTTTTTCAATGTAGATTAATATTTACATTCACACAACCAGTCTGCTTTTTTATCCGATCTAAGGACGGTGAACAAATCTATAATAAGCGGCACTAAAAAGTTACATCAGGCTACGGCAATCATCCTTCCATCACTGTATTATCTTTTTCTTTTTAGGTTGTCAGGAAAATCTTCGTAGAGCCAATATAAAAGCATTCTTAGTTAAGAAAGTTTTGTTTGTGAGGTACAAGAGAAAAAAAGAGCAGTAGCAAGAGAGGATAGAGTCATGAGTCGTCTTATCCTTCTGAATCTAATTTCAATTTTGCACATATTATTCCGAATTTTATCTTAAGACCTCGATCTAATGAACAACCATGTTCATCTTGGTTGAATGGCATAATAACTTTTGACATTTCATCAAAAACTGACATAAATTGTTTTCTTAATATATTTTCATGTTCTTTCAGTTCTAAATCCATGATGAACTAATTTTTTCTAATTTTTTATCATCATACTTTACCAAATTAATATTTTATAACATAGTTATATGACTTACGACTTTATCATGCATGCAATTCTTGAATTGTTCATTAAATATTATTATTGTGTCAAGATTTTCATTTATTTTTGCCATATTACTCATAAATTGTTCTAATTTGGACATAATCTCACTATTTAGACCGAAAATTCATTGATTTTATAATGGATTTCATTTTGAAAAATACCTTGGATTGTCACTAAAGGTGTTACTTCCTGTTGCTGTTGTAGAATTTGTGGATTATAATGTTTTTGTGACAGTTACCCAAGATTGTTTTTCACAATTGGACAACAAACAACACTTGATACATGATCATCTTTACAGTGGATACATCTCGACTGACTCGTTCAAGTATTTCGTTTAAAACCAAAAAAATATTGTCAACAAATTTTGGGCTGTGGGTGAGGTTGTTGCTATGGATTTGGATCTGTTGTGACTGTATCCACACCATTGCCAGCTGTCGTAAGCCCTTGTAGACCTTTGTACACCCTGGTAGGCTCTGTTAGACCCTAGTAGATCGTACTGTAGCTTAATAAATTTAAATAGGCTTGAGAAAATCATACATATTAATATATTAGCATGTATATAAAATGATAGATTCTTGAAAAAAGTCTCTTCTATAAACTATAGAAATTTTGAATTATTATGTGATGCACTTAGGTCATGAAGTCGTACTCTTGCCTGTACAGAATTGATGATAAAAGAAAACGGCGCAAGATCGAGCACCTACTGCACTTGATTATGCAACAGAACAGAAGGCAAGATCAGTAATTAGGTTTAATATTCCAGAGTGCATCATGTTTCAATAAAGCATTTTGGCGTCGACTGCCCACAACATAGAAAAGTAGGTCATCACCAACATTGTTATTACAGCAAATATCAGTCTCTAAATCCGATTGATTTGATCAAAATTGTTCTGTTCAAAAGTGTTTCAAGTAGCATGTATCGATGATTTGTGATGAGATAGTTTTAATGTTTTAAATTAAAAACTTGTCGTTATTTCCTCGATGAGGTCTTCTCTTTAGAAAACGAAAAACGATATCCCGTCCAGATCATGCTTTCACAGGATGAAGCTTACCCATCGGATCCTGTTTGATCATCTTAATACCAGGAGAGTTCTATCGATTTTCATCGGATTTCGACAAAATCCGATGAAATTTGAATAGGAATCTTGGTCAGCAGATTGTTTGACTTGGTTTGATATAACCATTAATCATAGCGTCTCGATACACTGCGTGGAAAATGTCCTTTTTTTTGAACAACTCTTTCATTGGGGTCCTGGCATGTGCTACGACTCATTTTTAAGACAAAAAAAGTCAATCGCTTGACTCTTCGTGGGTCGTTTCAATAATTCGTTCAGAAAAATGCTCTCTCAATATTTCTAGAGATATAATTTTGTTTAAAAAGATAGGAATCTGCACTCTAATTTGAGCAAGACTGGATACATGTTTTCAATGTACATAGAAATGACTTAATTGAAAATAGATTTCTCTACTACAAACTTACCTGGCCTATCTGATCGATTAGCAGAAGATGCTTAACTGAAAACATCATCGAATTCATGCAACTATTCTCGATCGATCCGTAAAAATTCGTTCACAAGTCTTTCAGCTGATGGACACATCCCTCGATGGTCGTCCATCGAAACAAGTCAATGTTGCCATTCAAAACAGCATTAAATAATGTTTTGTTAGATCAACTATATGCTTTTCGATCTGGTCACATTTCTCACTCGAAAATATTTTGTGAAATGAAGACTTTTAGAAAAAAATAATGCCGAGAAAGAACAATAATCCATTCAAAACGAAACTCCATCTACTTTTCTGTGTTTCGAATATAACTTCGGCACGTATGCGTCATCGTCAACAAAAGTATGAATCGAGTGCTACAAGCCTAGAGAGAACGTTTTTTCTTACTTTTCCACAACATTCGAATAGTTTTTTTTTTCATCCACTATGCTAGCATATGGGTGGGTGAGAATTTTGTCTTAAATCATATTCACCTTCAATCTCAATTAGTGTGAGATTGCATGAAGAGAGAACTCTCACCTATTCACACGTATTTTCCAATCGATATTACCATTTTATATAAGTAATAAAGCAGAAAATCAGCTTTTTTTTCTGCTATGAATAATAAGATTACATCTTCTTGAAAGATTCAGTAACAAGTCGATATCTCAAGAACGAAGGTTCAGCATCGAGAAATATATCGTAACTACTAATCGTTTTGCTACAGCTGATCCAAGAAAGGGTAGGTGCCGGTTGATGGATGAATGGGAATGAAAAGATCTACATCCTCACTCTTTACTTGTACCCACTCCCAATGAAAAGACTAAAATATCACTCTTATTTATTTGATGGTTTTTCTCACAAATCCCATTGATTATTCGTCAGATGTTTCGAGTGCAGATGAAGGTGATGCTAGCGACAAAGCTGACCTTTTTGTGATCAGTCTATAGTGTTAATGCTTGTAATGCTTGTTTTAGGCACTCATATACAACACGATTATCATAGTTTTCATGAAAAAATGGCATTTTCGTTTTACGAAAAAAGTTGGTCAATGTCACTTTGTGAATACAACATTATGCCCGCATTATAGTGATTTCTTATCTGCTGTTCTAGTCATCAATACTAAATGCAAACCTTTCACTTTTTTCATATCCATATTCCAATTAGATGAATTTTATTTAAACATATATAGATCAGTTTCGTGATGGAATCATACGATAGTCCTGTCATCATATGAGCCATAGCTCTGTTATAAATCCTTTATCAAACTAGCTATGAATGCATTGAAAAAGCTCATAGAGTTGCATTAGTGTTTATAATATCTCATAGGTTGATTTTCTTTTTCGCAGATATCATCATGACCAATTTTCGATTATAAATTTAGGCACCATCAATGGATCTCGCATCTGTTCATCAGAATTCGATAGCTTCCTTGTATAAAACTGGTTCTTTCACTATCGGAGAGATCTCGAAAGTTTACGTTGAGTTATCCTACTTGAGGGTGGCTTGAACTAATTTTAGATACACTTTGAAGTCACTTTCTCCTAGTACGCTCTTAAACTGGTCAATCGAATGATCAATCTTCTTTCAATAGGTTGTCATGAATGTTCGATTTTTATCACATATTTTTTATGAGCCTTCTAAATACTGCAAGACTGGATAACAATTAATCGGTTACTTGGAAGAGAGTTTTCTTGAAATTCTCATACCACATCTTCTCTCACCAGGAATCCGAGTTAGTTGAAAAACTTTTTGTTGAGTTTCGGAAAAAACATGTATTCCATTCGATTTAAGGTCATGATCTGAATTTTGCCAGCTAAGAATTTTTGATACAGAAGAGAGGAAAAGGCGAAGATTTTGCCTTATGCTGGAACATTCTTTGAACAGCAAATATGAAGCTCCATTTAAATGATTGAATAGGAGTGAATAGTGTCAACAAGAAAATTTGTTTAAAAAACAACGTGAACAGTTTTGCAAATCTAGAAATTCTCTATATTTTGGTAAGTAAAGTAATTTGTGGTGAAGCTTGAAACAGTTTACGAGAAAAGACAAAGCTCTGTCTACAGCTGGAAAGGAATATACTTTTCCAATGTCCGTAAAAGGTTGTTTCAATTCTAGGAGTAGCTCAGTCCCCATTCCGCCACTGTAAGAGTTATTTTTTACACTTAGAAAGTGAAAGAAAAAGATGTCGACATTCAATGAAATTTATTCTGGTAGATCTGTTATTGTTACAACTAATTAACAAAAAAATTGTTATAATCTTGATGTTGTTTATATTTCTGTTATAATATGTCGGAAGTTGAAATTCTGTCATGGAGTAAAGTTCGATATCTTGTGCATAAATTGTGGCTATCAGCTTCTGTCGGTAAAGACTTATTCGAGAAAAGAATATTCCTCGAGAAAATTGATATTTTGTTATTACACTTTGTATAGGAGAAAATGTCGAGAATTGCGGTGCTTGTGCCAATCTTTTATGCCTTAAAAACTGGAAAAATACATAAAACATTATTATCACGTCAATCAATTTCTTATATCATAATACTCAACCGAAAACGAAAAAAGCGTTTGCTAGACGTCGCAAAATTGCAACACATCAAAAATAAAAACATATGTTATTATTAACAATATAAGCTTTCTTTTAAAGAAGAAGTAAGCCTTTGTGTTACGAAAAGAAGCTTCATAATTAAGAAATATGCCAAATAAAATGTGTTTTTTTTTAAGAAATAATATTTCATAGAAGCTTTATTTTCACCAAAATAGATTAATCGGTTTTTTAAAATTTTATCGAATAAATGTAAAAATACCATTGAACGTGTTTAACAATAAGAAGAGAAGAATCCCCGAGTGGATAAATTAATAGATTACGATTTGTTCCATTTCTTCTCATATGGAAATATTTTATTCATCTTCAAACCATATACGATTACGACTGAATAATGTCTTCTAAAAGAAATTATACTTTTCCTTATATTTATTTAAATTAGAATTATTTTAAAAAACCTGTAATTTTTGTATTTTTTGTTCTAATAATTTAATTCGTAAATCTTTACGTTCGTTTTGATCTTGTAACTCAGCTATTCTTTCTCGATAACTATGTTCTACCAAACTCTTTAAGAGAAAAAAAAAAGATATTTCTTAACATTCCAAAGAAACATTTCATAGCAATTTTACCAATCTATCATTGATAAGTAGCTGAATATTGCTCATCAAATCCATCGAATGCATATGTGAAAGAGGATTTAAAGAAAAATTTTCTGATGTTGAACATTGATAAAGAAGAGGTTTTTCTTGATTATCACAGTTTAGATTTTGTGCATTTGTTATAGAACATCTCGATTTTGATCTAAAATAAATATAAACAAAAGAAAAACATAAAAAATTTAATTTATTGATACCTTGCTCGATTCCTTATAGTTATTCTTCGATTATGACGGCATAATGATACTTGTTCAGTTCGTTTTTCTTCATTTTCATTATTATCATTGTTTTCTTTAGATGAATTACTATCAAATAAAAATTATCAAGTTTTCATCAAATGAATTTTCAAATAACAAACTTTTCTGCTATAACAGATGTAGGTATTGGTGCTGTTGTCATTGGATTATGTGTTAAACATGATGCAATCGACGTTAATGTAGTAAAAGCACTTTTCATTTTTTCTGCTGCTTCTTTTTTTGCTTTTTCAAATCCAAGTCGATTTTGTGCATATTCATATAATTTACGTTCAGCTTCTGGATAATCACGACAACCTTCTAATACATCTTCTTTTGACAAGGAAAATAATTCTGAATAACCAACACTTCGTACATCAGCTGTTCGCCGATTAGCGCCATCAATATTTAATATACCAATTTCACCAAAAAAATCGCCTGTACCCAAACGTGTCAATACATCATTTTTCTCACTAAATATATTACAAATTTTATTAGTAAATTAACATGTAATTTATTCTTACTTGACTACTTCAAGAACACCATCAGCTATAATAAACATTTCACGTGCTACTTCACCTTTACGACAAATAACATCACCCGGTGTAAAAATATACGCACGCATTTTAAGAACAAGATCATGAAGAAATTCAGGTTGACATTCTTGAAATATAGTCACCTTAAATATAAATAAAATAAATTCAGATTTTATTAGTGACTATCACAGTTCATCGAAATTCTTGAACTTGTCTATCATTTTTATGGAATCTGAAGAAAGCATGAGTCCCAACGGATCTTCTTTATATGATATTTCAATGAATATTGAGCTTTATTGAAAAACCACTTTTTTCTTTTTATTACATGTCTAAATCTCCAATTGAATTTACCTTTTTTAATGTTCCCAAATTAACATGTAAAGCCAATTCAGTTTTAAGTTTATCAGGTAAAAGTTTTATTGAATGAACATCACCAGCACCTGACATTCGACCACGTGACCACGAATAATCATACCAACGTTGAACACGTCGTTGCATTTCAGGCGGAACATTATGTGAACGCATATATTGTTTTGCACTATCCTGTACAGATAAAAAAAACAAATTCAAATTCTATAATTCTTTTTTATCTATTCGATTCTAACCAATAAACGTTCGAATTCTAAACGACTAGCATTTCGATTTGTAATAACATTGCCAACTTGTCCTAACAAAAAAAGAAACCCGAGTACTTTTCAACTATATGTTTCATAGTTTTTAAAACTTACCTATAATCGATGAGAAAACAAATATTCCAATCATGTAACTGGCAATAGCAAAAACAGCCCTCAAAAAAAGACAATGTGGTGTGTATCTAGTTATATTTTCCTTTAAAACCATTGCTTAGTTTATATTTTAAAAAATCTTTCTCAATAGGTATTCTTTTGATTATTATTATTGCTTACCCACAATGATAGCTATGACGAAAACAGCGAACAAGTGGACGCTTATTAAAAAAGCGTAACTAAAAATCAATCTCAAAGCATTGATTAAAATATATATAAAACACTATGAACTTACCGTTTGTTCGTAAAATTCTTAAGCCATCTAGTTTTTAAGAAAAAAAAACAGAACAAGAAAAAAAAACGAACAAAATAATTGATTTTTTCTTTTTTTGCTCAACATAAATTTTCCTCATTGCTTACTATCGAATGAAGGAGTAAAAACCAAAAGCCAAAAAAGAAATTTACTCACTGCCAATTAGTTTCTGGTGGTGGTAAATCTCCAATTGTTGTTAATGTTAATGTTGACCAATAAAGACAACGAAGATACATTTTAGCTAATTGAGAAAAATTTCCAACAGGTTTTGGATATGACCAATACCCAACAAAACCTTCAGCTTTCGATACCATAAAATAAAATGAAGCTAACCAATGTCCAAGTAAAAGAAGTATATGAAGAAGATTTAGAACACGATATGTATTCGGATAAACAGTACGTGATTCTTGTAAATAATATAATTGAAATGTTCGATATACTTTAAAGAAACGTGGAAAACGAAGAATTGGAATTGAACCAAATTTTATTTGTAATAAATCCAATGGTGTTAATGAAATAATATCAAAAATAAAACGAGATGAATGGACATAATTCATTGCTAATTTATAATGATTATAAACAAGTAAACCTAAAATATGACAAATAAACCTTAGAAAAATCATCGTATAAAACTTGTTCCTATGCAAGAATCGATTTAAGATGTATTTGAATAATTAAGACAAGAGTAAAATTATGAACAAACATCAAAACTCTATTTCTTAAGAATAAAACAGAGAGATGCTAGTAATACATGACTCGTGACATACGAAAAATTTATTCTATCTATCTATCATACCTTGTTCAAGATAACCGGTTCGAAATTGAATAGCAATATCAAGAAAATAAATTGCATCAGCTAAATAATCAATTATTTCCCATATTTGTGCATAATCTCTTTGCAGCGGTTCAAATGATTGACGTGCAATAGCAAACCAAAGGTTATACAATACAAAGATATTTAATACAATTAACCAATAAAATAAAAATGATTCATCTGTTGATATAACAAAGTAATTACATGAACGAACAATTCGTCGAACACATGAATAACGACTTTTAATTGGTTCATCTTTTTCAATATTTATTCGAAGATTTCGTTTTGCTGGCTCTTCAAAAACAAGATAAAAGCAAATAAGAAATAGAGTTCTTAATATTCAACAAAAAAAAAAATTGCTATAGGTATTTTTTAGAAATAAAGAGAATATACCAATAGTTCCCAAACCTCGATAACCATAACGAGTAGAAAACCTTCGTAAAAATGAATCTTCTCGTTTTAAAGAAGTTTCACTTGTTTTGAACTTAGTTGTTGTAAATGGATGAGGATTCTGTTAAAAGAAAATATATATTAAAAAAAATATGTAAACTAACCAAGATATGGTTTAAAATAAGCAGTTAAAGGATCTTCACCATATGTTTGATGTCGACTCATTCGTAATGATCGTTCTTATTGACTATTGCACATTAGAACTCGTTACATTTTTTTTTTCTTCAACAACTTTTTTTTCTATATTTTAAGTGTAAGTAAATAGAAGGAAGCAAATGTTGATGATTTGTTATGGAATTCTCTAACAATTCATAATACTCAATTACATAGAGAGCAATGGACGTAATGTCAGGACGCTAAGGAAAAAGACGTTAAATAAGAAACAATAGATTTTTTCTTTTTTCTTCTATCTATCTTATTCGCCTTCGATTCGTCGGGTTTGATTGTCGACATAACACTCATTGAGTCGCGAATAAATGACTTAAGCATCCGCCTTAGTTCGGAGAATAAATATAATTATTAAATACTCACGTCATCGATCGATGATAACGATAGTGGATTGGTAACACTAGTTGATTGACCAAGAAGAGGTGCTTTAGAAAGGTATTCACTAGCACTTGATGAATCATTTGCATTTGGTAATTGTTGTTGAGTTTGATTCTGTGGATTAGAAGATGGATTACCACCTCCTTTATGTAGTAAATCATTTAAGACAGGTGTAAGAGCAGCTAATGGCATTTTATTTTTGTCACAACATTATTATCATGAAGTGAACTAATTGATCCTTGTCAAAAGCTAGAAATAAATTTTAAAATAGTATTATTTATACTTGAAAAATCAATGTCATTCCATTATATCTATACCGGAAAATCTGAATTTTCTATTTTTCTCGACTCTTTCTTCATCGTCATCATCATCATCATCATCATCTTCTTTTCTTCTTTCTTTTTAATTGTTTTGAAAATAGCATTACACGATTGACAGAAAAATTAGATTAAATATTGTTTCACTAGATTGTCTAAATTATCATCGAACCAAGAAATGGAAAAATAGAATCAGAAGAAGATTTCTTTCACTTGTTTTCTCTCTCTCTCTCTCTCTCTCTCTCCTCCTCGTCTCTGTGTTTCTCTCTCACTATCATCATATTGAGATCACACCAAGGACATAATAAATGAGTTCAACTACGTCGAGGCACAAACAATGAAACTATCCAAACAAAATTCTATTCTATTTCGTAAAACACATTTTTTTTATCTATTTTATTGCATTACTATCATCATCAATTATAATTATATGATGATGGAACATAATTGAGAGAATAAATTATAAACATTTCTTTGTTATTTGTCTCACTTTTCAAATCACTGACATTCTTATTGCTTTGCATTTTTTGTCATCTTTCAATTATACTATACAATCTATATTGATTTAAATCTTGTCGCATTGAATACATACCTAAATCGAACGATGTAGTGAAATTATTTCTAGTATTAGTCTTTTTTATTCTTTTCACAGGATGGTCTCATTTGATACTCATCATTTTTTTTTCTATTTTTTTCTATCTCACCCGTAATCTTATTTGGTAAAAAAAAGAGAAAACAAAATAGAACGTATATAAAGCAGGCTTTTTTTTTCGATGGCTAAACGAATAGGACATTTGGTGACATGAGAAGTAGAGAGAAAAACATGAGAACAAGCTTGATCACACACACACACACACACACATATACACACACAAACAAGATCCTCAAGCTACATTATTATAACACATCTTTTTGCCTCCTTCTATCCTTGAATATATTTCCCTTGAAGGCAAAATTTCTTATGATGACAACGATAGTTCTTCAATTTCAATCTAATATCTTTATCAAACTGACTCCTAAAAAAGACAAAAAACAAAGATGTTAAAGAGAAAGAAGGAATAAAGAGGAAAATTGCCTGATATGTATGTAAACAAACAGGGTTTAACAAAAGACACTTTTTTTTTCTAAAATAAAAACTCACATAACTGAATAGAAAACATTGAGAAATCTGACCCAAGACCTAGTCAAAAGTTGTCAGTTGGTATTTATTCGTCTTCAGTCTTTTTCTCTTGAATAAATAATTATTGACAATGACAAATGTTGAGTTCTTTTACAAGTTGTTGGCAGTTCAGAATATGCGAAAATGATGAGTATGTAACAATAGTACGAAACACTTGAAGTAATACGCTTTTAATATCTCATGAAAATAGAAACTCAATGGGAAAATTTATTCATTTATACATAAGATACGAACAAAGATTTTATTTTTTATCCGATCAAAAGCCATTGTATTAAGTTGTCGATAACAAAAAAAGAAAGATGAAAAGAAAAAAAACTTATTCATTTTAGCCGTAAAAACAAATAAACTTCGGATAGAATATAATAGGCTCGGAATATCTATAAAAATTTTCTTTTTATATTTTAGTAAGTTATTTCAATGATTTTCTTTATCTTATAATTCTAACAAATAAACACATACACACAGAAATAAAAAAAAAACAGCAAAAGGTTGAGAAATTTTTTTTAATATTAACATTAGACAATTTTTCAGGTGGTTTAAACATGACTGTTATGTGTACGCAATAATGTTTGTGAAACACAAATACGATGACGTCCACGAGATGTTTCACAAATTATCACACGTATTGGACTTGATTCATGAGCAGTATCATTATTGAATAAAGAACGCTAAAATAAAAATTCATTAATTATTTATTTATTTTTTTCTCGAATGAAAAGTAAATAATTATTTCATACGGAATTTGTTGGTGTTGACAATGGTTTAATGTGCAAATTGAGATAATCAGTTTCTGGCGTTGATGTACTTTCTGTCCGATGAATCGATAATGTTGTAGATAATGAATTTGGTGGCTGTTGTTGGCGTTCAAACGGTATTTCAAATAGTTTATCATTACTACTATAGTTAATATCACTTGGTTTCAAACCATATAAGAGTACTTTACACAAGGTCATTGAACTCTAAAAAATATTACATGTACAATCTAATTTACTCAATCATAATCACTATACAACTTATAATACTAATAAAAGAGGACGCTGCCTATATTTGTATGTTAAGAGTGATAAAAAAAAAAAAGAGAAGAAAACTTCTTTTTTTTTGTATTGTATAGTGGCTCATATGGAAAGCAACAGCTTGTTGCGACCATCATGATGATCATCAACGAGAAAAATGAAAAGAAAAAAGTATATGTGTGTGTGTGTATGTGCACGTCTGTGTATTTATTCTAAGATTGATCGAAGAAAAAAAAAAGAAAGAAAAAAGAATTGGGGTCTGTTCAATTTAATTTTGAAAGAAACTAGCAATTCCAATTAGTTCATAAAAAAAATGACATACAACAGCTATTAAAAAAAAAAAGAACAAAAGAACTTACTTGAGTTTGATCAATAATTGGTTCTGATAGTATAGCAGTGGCGGCACATGGTTTATAATATGATTGAACAAACCATGAAACAACAGTATTATTTTTTTTCTATAAAACGTCATAGATAAATCATATTATATGGTTATTTAGTATTTTAAAGGTCTACTCACGGTCATTGTAAATATAACTACTAGATAAGAAAGGGTCAAATTTCGTTTGAATAGTAAGTTATGTTTTTGTTGATAAGATGTTTTAAATGAGCTTCCCGCTTGATGAATGACAGAATACCTCGAACACGTGTATACAATAGAGAATTTAATGTGTTCGTGTGCGTGTTTCGACTATGATAAGAGTTGGTTAAAAAAAAAAAAGATGAGACACATTATTTTGTTCTTATTTGAATCTATACTTCACCTGTTCGTTGTAGCCACTGAGAGTACATGGGCCGATGATAATATGTGTTTGTGTTTGTGTGTAGACTTAATTATATATAGTATATATATATACATCATAATAGTGAAGACACAAAGAAAAAAAGAGTAAGACGTACGTCGTCTTTATTTGCATATCAAAATCTTTCTCTTTTGAACTCATTGGATTATATTTAAATACAGACAATTTGACTTTCTAATCGTTTCATTCGTTTTGTACTATTATTTATATATACAAGAAAACAAAACATACTGTATAGTTCATTAAAGCGATATAACAATAAAGAGTTCATCACGCCTTTTAACGTGTCTTTTATGACGCTTTTAGTTCTATTGACTTCTATTCATATCGAATATTAAATGAAATTTCATTTTTTTGACAAGCTATTAAGATCAAAAGACGTTTTGATATTGATCATGTTATTTGATGAATCAAGGCTTTGATAATTGATATATCGATTTATTTTATTAAAGTCAATACTGTTTAGATGTAGAACAGACCGAATCGAACATTGATAAAAAAGACTTTGGCATTATATCATTAAAGTATAGTAATATAATAATGATTTGATTTGGTGTCAAAATTTTTATCCTTTTTTTTTTTTTGTAATAAAGAATTACTATTTGAAATGAAAATCATGATCGAGGATATGAAAATTCAATTATTTGGTGTTTTTGTTTTTCGTTCTTTTTTTGAAAAAGAAATAAAGCTTCTTAGCAATGAAAGCAGATATATTCTTAATACTTATATTCTTTTTTTTTTCAGTATTGCCATTGCTGGAAATACTTAGATTCAAGAATTGACAATAATCATAAAGGAAATCATTAACCTAGTGACAAAGGGCAAAAATGAATATTATCTAGGATCAACTTATTCAATAAAAACCAATTTAGAATCAATGCGGAAAAAGAATACCATGTTGATACCATCGAAATCTCTAATATAATAGATAGCTTGTTTTTTTTTATAATTCTTGTTGAACTAAAAGGATAGAACGAAAATACCATTTAGAAAATTTTGTTCAAGTATTACATTTTTTTTTACAAACAATCGAGCCAAAAAAAAGTTTTAAAACAGGATCTTGTCATTATTCCACTAGTACTTATCTTACAAATATAGTTGTTCGAGCATTAAAATGCTCTAATGTGGTATGAATCCGTTGCTTTATCTGCGCTAATATCGTGTCAGTAATATATTTGTGATTATACGAAAGTTTTTGATGTACAAAAAAAAAGAAAGTTGAAGTGTTTCTTTTTATTCTTGAAAAAATTCTGTTCGAACCTGTAAAACTATTGCTATATGTCATATCCTTAATTTAATAAAGCCTGAAAATCAGAAAAAGCATGGAAATTGAATATACACTTACGTTCTTTTATTTTGGAACCCATAGGAAATCACTAAAGAACACGCAGTTAGTAATAACAATACTTGACATAGCATCAAGAACAATTTCCTTTTCTAAAATTTTAAGTGTACTACACTTAGTTTACTTTGTTTTTCTTACGTCAATCCATTAGTCCTTAATCTAATCTAGTAAAATGTATTAGTCTACTAAATAAAATTATGAATATATTTCTATTAAAAAAAATACCTTTAGAAATAAGAAATATCATCTATCCAATGATTTCTTGTTTGATTCTCTTTGAAGTATCTTGAACATAACTTAGAAGACCTTTCGATTTTTCTTTTTCATTCATAATTAGTTTTAACATCATTAGAAAATATATTATTTCAGATAACACAGATAATTCTATTACTAAGCATCAACAGTTGAAACAAATTAAAAATGATAGAATATATTAAGTGTATTTTTATTGAGATTGATGCTTATCAATATACATTGTAGGCGTGATATTTATTTATGACGACTAATTCATTTTATCGAATTATGTTCATTTATTTCATAAAAGCATAACAACCATGTGGTTCTCAGCTTCAAACATTTATATGTTTGTACTTATAACATGAATATTATATATATATATATACATAGTCTATTACAGCTGTTTGATATCATTATAAACTACATTGGCAATAGCGACGATGAATTTTTGAATAATACATATATATCATAAAAAGTATATAAATAGCGAGTAATTTTTTAACCTTTAGGTGTGATAGTAACATTGCGAAAAAAAAGTGATATCTGATTGATATAAGTTATTTTATTGCAAGCATGTTTATTTGATCGAACATTGTAAAAGTTTACTTTGTATGAACAAAACGTGTCGTATATTACCATTCAAATATATATGTATAATCATTAATGTACCATAATTGAATTGTTCAAGTTGGAAGGAAACTCATTCTTCATGAAGCAAAGATTATACAGTCTATACAAATATAAACACTTATAGTCAAATAAATTTTGTACTATTTTATCATTATTAATTTTTCCAAAGTAAAACATCAAATGTAGTAAGGGTTTTATCAATTGAGAAACGTAGCAAATTCTCTGTGTCATAAATATCAACAAATGCTTTCTCACATTGCAAAACAATGTACTCTTAATTAATTTTTTCATAAAAAAAGAATTAATTTCTGATTACATATGATATTATTGGTTTCTTAACCTTTTCTCACTAGCAAAGTGACTTAATTGAAATTACATGTATATATATTCTTAACTAATACGTCAAACTCTATCAAACGATGTATAAAGATAAAGATACAATGCATTTGAATTCTAGGTTTCTCTCATCCAACTTGTTATTCATTCATTACGTTTTATTTTTTTAAGGCTTTTTATAGTCATAAAATTTATCTAGTTGTTGACTGAATGCAACAATAATATTAATACTTGCAATTGATCGATTACGAGTAACTCGGTTTGCTTTTTTTTAATTTCTTATTCATGTTGACTTTAGATGGAAAAATGTTCATCGGTTTGTTGACCCTCTATTGACGGGAAACCTATATATACATGTTGAGCTTTTGCACAGATCTCAACTTGTACAATCATCTATCTTCACTAGATCATAACAGTATTCTCTCTTTTCCTTAATTTGTTAGTATCCCATAGCGTCATCATCATCTGATACAATTGTACATGTCTATCAAGAGCAAACAAAGAGTTTTGAATGTGAAAGTAATCAAGAATTTATGGGATCTCTATCATCGAAATCTTTTAAAACAATACGAATTCAAACAGTCTCGTAGAATTGTTGCTATTACTAAAGCTTTAATGCTACAGATCATCAAGTATCAGATTGTATGAAATCTGTATTATGATATAGAGTTTCGAAGCTTTCTATAGAATCACCTGCAGGACTCTGTGCCATTCTCTATTTGACTTTAAAATCTTATGGAGTTCGATGATTCTTCATGAAGCCCACTATTTGTCTTGATGTACAGGCTTTATTTCGGGCTTTTATGGAAAACAAATCACAATTTTTGCAACTCTTCAAAAACAAGAACTCCGTCGTCAAAAGGATAATTATTGAGAAATGCATTATCACATCGAAACAAGTTAAGATGTTTACTTAAACAATAGATTTACATATCTTTTTCTTTAATAATAGGAGTATTTCAGATTCACAAGTTCATTTATTGTTGACCAGGATCTTAGTTTATTTAAGTATCAAAGATAACAAATGAAAACATTTCTTCAAAACAAAACAACAAAAACAACAATATAAATCAATATCTATTTCGTTGTTGATGAATTCATTTGTTCGAAAATTTTCAATTGTTTATTTTTTTCATTTTTCAAGCTGCCCAAATTAGATTCATATTTTCTTCGTTTACTAAATCCACGTGTTTGTCGTTCTTCATCAACTACCGCACGCTCTGAAAATTGACCCATACTTGCATCAGAATATTTTGCTGTTGCTAAAGCTTTTTTTACCTTAAAAAAAAACAAACAGAATAATAATGAAATATCTTTATAACAATGAAATCTTCACTTACATCATTAACTGATGATTTTTTATTAATAATAGCACCATCATTTCTAACTAAAATTAAAAAAAATATCCACCATTTATATCTTATTTAATAAATTGATTGTTTTCACGATCTATAACTTTTGATTAATACTCGTAATATACGTACTTAAAATGGTGCTTCATATCTGCAGAGAACGTTTCAGTTGTATTACAGTCAAGAAAGGAAGCAAAGAGTCATTTTTTATCTTTGTAACATCAGTATTTCATACACGTAAGGATTCAAGAAATTCGATTCTACTTACGAAGTCCTATCTGCTCAAAAAATTACAGATTTTTCTGATAATTCATTCTATGGAAGATTCCGAAAAGTAGCAGAGCACATCTGTTTAATCAAAAAACTTTCATTTTACTCGTTGAAATTAAAAATTTAACTCATATCTCATTGTATTCATTTCAATAAATTATAAATAAATAAACAGTTTTTTTCCTTACCGTTTACTTTATTTGCACGACCAATATTTTTTAAACGTTGAAATTCATTTTTTGCTACACGTTCTTTTTTAGCTGATGAACGTTTAGCAAATTGATCTTCATTTGGATCTGAATGGATGAATAAATAAATAAATAAATAAAAAGTATATAGAAAGATAGTTCTAGAACAAACCAGCACTAGTTGGTACTTCAATAAGCCATGGTTTTGAATCATCATTAGCTTTTTTATAACCATAACGACGACCCCATTCTTTTTTCGCTTCATCCCAAACGAATTTGCTCTTCTTTTGTTTGACAATACCTTTATTTTGAGCAAATTTTTGCCATTTAGTTAAAGGTTTTGGTTTAGGAATCTAAATTACATATTGATTTCTTTATTGACAAATTTAATTCAATTATAAACGAACTGGTTTTTCTCGTGGTACAATTGCTTTTGCATCTGGTAATATTGCAACAATTACATTATCATGTCGTTCAATAGGTACCTGAAATGAGATGTTTAAATTTCTTATAATAAAAATAGAATTAACATACCTGCCACAAAGCATTGACAAATAATTGCATATTATCACGCATTGTATTTTTGATATATTCATCTCGATTTTCTCTAGAAAAAATAATAATATTGATAATGAAAATTCGTAGGTACACTCAATTCGAGAATGAATAATTGTATTAAAATCAATATATTGAAGAAATAAATTTCTTAGATGATTTTCTTAATAAATGTTTGTGTATTGAGTTATTCTGTTTAGAATACGAAAAGCTATTAGTGTTGCATTTTCAATAATACAGATCATATTTTAACTGGTTAGAAGATGAAAGTCATTATTCAAATGTATCGATTCTTATCCGTATCTATTATATTTAATTTGATAGAAAGTTTTTAAATATAAGGCTTGGAAGTAGAGCCCGTCGGGTAGACCCGGACCCGACCGGATCCGAGTCCGGGTTCGGGTCCGGGTTCGGGTCCAGAAAATTAAATTTAATCGGGTCCGGGTGGGGTTCCAGGTCTGGAAATTTTCCATAAAGCGGGTCCGGGTCTAAAGTAATTTTGGATGCATTTGCAAATATTTCTGGAAGTTTTACTGATCTTCAGTTTTCTCTGAAAAGCTACTTGCTTTTGATTGCTAGCGTTAAAAATAAGTTGTTTGTGTTCAATAGAACACGTTGCATTGGTCTCAGACACAGACGAGATCGGGTTCGGGTAGGGTTCGGGTACAAAAATGTTGTACCCGATGGGCTCTACATGGAAGTGACTTTTCCTTTCTTTTTCTTCTAAATAACTAATTACATACTTATATGCTTGTTGATCAATAATATTCGGATCCCAAACCAATAAATTACCAAGATCAATATCGACAGGACATGGTTTAATAACTTCTGTTGATTTTAATATTCTATCTTGTTCATCAATATCACGTTTGAGAATATTTTTAACAAGATCGTTTGAATTCATGATCTGAAATCTCAAAAAAAAAAAAACAACCGCGTAAATCATCATGTTTTATCTCATTGTTGTCTTTTTAATCACTTTGTTCTTTATCCTATACAAAATATAACAACGAGTAATCAAAAAAGAAAAGAACTAACGAATATTATGCTCAACACATTACAACATGTGTTTATATACATCGACATACATATACAGAAACAATAGAAGTAAGCAATCAGTCAATGACAATAACCGGTTTGTTTTAAGTCTTATAACCAAGGATAATAAAGTGGATTGAGACGTGAAAGTTGATTGATATCTGTAGAATTTTCTACAAGTTCAGAAACTATTCTTTTTGATACATCAATATCAGTAAATTCTAAATTGAAAAACAACAATTAGATAAACAATTTATGTGCATGTGTAAACATACGGTTCAGCTTTGTTTCTAATTGACGAGCAATATTTTCGACTAGTTCAACACATTCTTTCTGTGTTAATTCAGGATGCTAAAATAGAATAGATAAATACATATGAGATATAAAACTGAATTTCGTGGGGAGATAAAACAATAGCAAAAGTACTAAAGATGATGTTTTGCGAAATCGAAATAGATGCTTTCGTTCTTTCAGAAAATTTGACTTATAAACTTGCCGTTACATTAACAATGGACAAGTGTATATTGTAACTCAAACATATTGAACATATTCGAGGTCAATTAACAAATCTAAAATATGAACGTCTATTTTTCTCTTTTTTCATGATTGAATAGAGATCGTCGAGTTACATACGAAAAAGTATGTTTCAAGTATAAAAAGAAAACAATTTAAGAGAAAAATCCATGATACCATTATTTTCAAAAAGTCGGAGGAAATAGAAACGTAGTTCTGACTTTGGTGACATTTCTTTTTCTTGTATAACTTAACAAACTCTATCTAATGATGGCAAAAAAGAGAAAAATAAATTCTTCTGAAGTTTTGAATTATTGGTAGATTTCATACACTATAAATTCAAATATCTTAGTCCGTGCACGTCATAATCCGCTCATATTTTAAAAATGTCAATTTGCCGATGAGACTTTTACTTTGATCTAAATATGTTTAATTTTGTTTGAGTTACAATAAACACAGTTTCAATTGTTAAGTGAAACGATGTAATCGACATAATTAGTGTTTTCTTAATCCTCTCATCTAAACCCTCGTAATTAGTCCGTTTCGTCGGTACAGTGTTTTTTCTGAAGAATTTTAGAAACTTTACTGAAGAAATTTTGTCTTAGAGAGAATGAAATAAACAAAACTGTAATAAAATTATTCGAAATTTTTAGAACGAGCCTTATCATCAATAGGAATGTCAAAGAAGCGCTTTCGATTAGCGAATATGAATGTAGGTATTAAGCTGCTCTACTGCTGTACTTGATCCTACATACATCCGGATTAGAGAGTTGGCATCACCGATTTAATGTAAATATTGTCATAGGAAATACAATCGTATATATAACTATTGAGGAATTAAAGAAAGATTATGTCTTGAACACGGCTACGATAAAGCAGCTTGACAACAATATGAATAAGCCTTCACAAAATAAGAAAATTTATATTTTGGAATCAATGATTTTTTGATTTAATAAAACGATGTGAGAAATGTCATTAGTCATTTGATGACTATTTTAATAAGATTCATAACAGATTACATTAATATTTCTCTTGTCCCTATTTTATGAACCGTTGAATTATGTTCTCATTTTTATTATTATAATTACTTTCTCCGATACAAAGTTGCATTTGTTTTTTGTTTTGTTTCATGATATACTACTGAATAAAATGTATCGATGAAACGGAACCAAATCTGTTCATATATCGTACTAATCTCTTTCTAACTTTCAAATCCAATTATATTTAAACAGCGAGGACATGATTACTATTCGAAAAAAAAAGATATCTGTTTTTGAATTAAAACGAATCGTTTCGATAAAATAATAAACAAATCATTTACTTTCATATGTATATCTTCTTTATAAAAAATCTTTAAATATTCAATAATTTGATATTTAGGTTGTGCTAATGATGTTAATGTTGATAAAATCGTTGCTATAAATGGTCCCATTTTTCCAAAACGATTAATAAATGTATCAATATTGGGTGTTAAAAAAATATTTTCATCTTGTTTATTTAAATCATATTTTAATCTAAGATATAATGGATTTATATTTCCTATTGAACGTTGTATATTTAAATGATTATTTGTATACATATAAAAACCAAATAAATAATTTAATGTGGAATAAAAACTCATTGATATTGTAAAAATTTTTCGAAATGAAAAATATCCTGTTGCATTTGTATATTCATTTAATGTCCATTGATGTAATAAATATTTATTTGAAAAAAATTCATTTTGTATTAATTGATAAATATTTAATAAATTATCATTATTATCATCAATTAATTCATAATATTTTTTTATTGGTAACATTAAACGATTATTATATATTTCAATTAAATTTATTGTTAAACGATTATCTTCAATTAAACGTAATGATGATAAATATGTACATAAATGTGGTAAAAATATTTGCATATGTCGTTTTAATAATTCTTTTTCTTTACGTATACATATATTATTAATCATTTTAAGAAATTGTAATGTATTTTCTTCTAATTCCCATTGAGAATTTATTTTGTCATATGATATTGTTTGATAATTATTTGATAAAAGATAATACATTATTTTACCATTATGTGCACGTATTGTTAAACGATTAAAATAACGTTCATGTTTAAATATACGTTCAATTGTCGGAAAAAATTTATTTATACGAAAATAAAAATTTGCTTCAGGTGCATGCCATAATTCACCGGGCATATTTATATCATTTGTTATTTGAGAATTAAATGATAATAATTGTAAATATTTTATTTGATTTAAATGTTTTATACGTGGTTCGGTTTGTTCAATACGACGTTCAATTACAGTTATCCATTTATTGATTAGAAGAACGAATGATCGAGATATGTGAGTAGTGTTAAGTACACTAGAAGATAAAAACATAAAAAAAGAAATTTGATTTCAAATTTTTAAGTAGGAAAAAATTAAAATCATTTTGCTTCTAGAAAAATAGTTCTTCTACTTGTACTATGAAATTAGTTGAAGAAGACACATTTATGAGAAAACTATCCCAACTGTAATCCGCCGTTTGAGCTCATATTAGATCTACAGAGAGATCGCGATAGAACTTGAAAAAGTCTAAAAGTATTCGTCTCCATCGACTTTTGGTGCTGAATTATGGATGTTATGACTGAACTTTCGACTTGAAATTTTGCACAAGGTGGACCTAATAAGTCTTAGAATATATCCCGAAAGGTTCAACTGAAAAGAATGTTTTTTTTTTATCGAAATAAAGAATTTTGAAAAAATCGTCGTTTGCTACAGACATGTCACAAAAATCGAGTTCACTGAAAAAATTCAATATTCCAATAAGAGAACATTCTTTTCGGTTGAAACTTTATCACTTGACTACTAGGACTCATGTGTGGCGAGCCATTTTAGCCTTTTACTAGTCCTACCAAGATCTCCCTGTGTGCCCAATAAGAGCCCAAACAGCAAGTTACACGTGATTTATTAAAGAAGCAATATTTTGACAATACTCAATATTATATTTTGATTTGATAAAGTGCAAATGAATTCTTTATCTGTTTTTCAATATTTTCAAATGAAAATATTCAATAAAAAATAAATTTTGAGATTTGTCTATCTGACTATCTGTAATCAGAACATCTTTTCTCTGATATCTCAAAAGGTGTAATCACCGTGTTTGCAATAGAAAAATTCTCGATCTTCTATTACGTTCTGTTGCTTATTCATCTACCGGAAGCCTTCTCTAGTGTACGAGAGAAGACACGGTACATAATTTTTAAAACGTTAGTAGACTACTTCAACTTAACGAATTTCTCCAAATTTTTGGCTTGTCTTACTATGATATGCAATGCCTTCAAAATGAATGCGACAACATCCATAAAGTAGAAGTATCAGTTCTTATTCTTATTTTCCCCTATTTGATGCTATAATGAATAATAGAAGTTAGAAACTCATTTGGAAAAAAGTTCAGTTTTCTAGAACTTAATATGCTGAAAGAATTGTTTGTAGATATTCATTTGAAATTGTCAATTATCATAAACTAATCATCCTTCATATCTATCTTCGTCAATAGTAAATATTATATTTTCTATTACATAAGTCTACTAATAAAACAAACCTTTCATTAAAATCATTTAAAAATTGTATTTTAATTTGTTGTATATTTTTAAATTCATTATCATCATTATTTAAAATATCTTTTAAATGTTGAATAATTTGTTTAACATCTTCCGGTAATTTTTTTTTATTTTCAAATAAATCTTCATAAATTTTTCTTTGACATTGATATAAACGTTTGATTATATATTCAAATAAAGTTTCATTTATTGTATTTAATTGTTCAATAATAATATCTAATATACGTACAATTGTTGGATGTTGTCCAAGTAAAATTTGTTCTAAACGATTTAAATTATTAATTGCTTGTTGTCTATATGATATTATTGGTAAATTTAAATTAATATCAATTGATGGTGTTATTGGTGTTGATGGTATTAGTTTTTCATCATGTTTATTTTCAATTAATTTTCTTAAAGATTTTTTAATTTGTACATAAACAGCTTGTGGATATAAACGTATTAATTCATTTAATATAGCTAACATACATTGACTTGATTCATTACGTATTAATTTATTCATTATTTGTGGTAACCAAAAAAGCCAATGTTGAACTGGTATTAATGATAAATAACGTTCAATACATATAGATAATTTATTATTATTATTATTTTCATTATCATGTGAAAGTAAATAAAATATTTTTGATAATATTGAACGTGCTTTGATTTCTGTTAAATCTTTACATGCATTTAAATAACAAATTATAATTGATTCATCATCATTTATAATAGATGATTGTTTAAGAAGAAAATCACCCCAATTAATCCATGTTCGAGTTAAATTTGCATCTGATAATTGTGTTGCACAACTAAAAAGTTTTTGAGCTTCATCATTATGATTTAATTTTGAATAAGCAACAGCTTTTAATGAATAAAATTCACTCATCATATCTTTATTGAAATATTTTGTATTAGCTTGTTCAACTATATCAAATATATCTTGAATTTCATTTGAAGATAATGTTGAAAATAAAACTAAATAACATTTTATTATTTGTTTAATTTTTTGATAACTATCAACGACTGGTACACTTGGTATGACAGTGCCAATTCTAGTTAAGAGAATAAGATTTATAAAAGATATATTCAATTGAGAATAGTTTAGAATTATTGAAATGAATATCTAACAGACAGTTAATGATATTTTACGATAATTTTGTTTTTTAAATTTATATCGTGATTTTTAATAACGAGGGAAATATTTCAACTAGAGATCTGCAGGGTCATTTTACCGCACCTTGTAAGATAAGGTAAGGTTAGCCCGCAAATCTCTCCACTTCCAACAGATAATCTATTCAGTCAAACAATCAACAAAATAGGCACTCGAACGAAGACATATCAATTGAAAGAATTTTTCTGTAAATAACGGTATTATGTGAGTAAGATATTTAATTACTAGTATTAAACTTGCTGTACAACATGAAACATTTGCTTCGCCTAATTAGTCAATAGAAGTCATTTGAAAAACAACCGTTTTTTTATAATTTTTTAATCATCCAGATGAAACAAGTATGGTCGTAAACAATAGAAAACGTTTGTTTACACGTGTACCATCCTGGACATACGTCACAATCATTATTTCAAACTGAGAAACATTAATAACGATTACTTATTTTTATAGATTTAGTTGTACTCTTACAAAAAGAAACAGGAAGAACTATAATCATTAAATGAAAAAAACTTTCAAGTCTCGTTGTGTTTTACTTACAACTTGTCATCGAAAACTTTAGCAACGTCCTATGACTAACTAATGTGACACCACAACAACCAGATCTCTGGTCTACGTGTCCTTTTTATTGCTTATTCTAACTAATAAATTGTTCAATTCTGTCTATTTTTTTTTAATAATCATAATCGATCTAATATTTTAATCAATCACCATCATTTAGCCTTTATTTTTAAAATCATTACTTCCTTATACAAATCAACTATCTAGAGTTTAAAAGAAAGTAACTTGAAAAAAAGTAGATTTTCTTTAATAATTGCTTATAAACAATAATCAGTATCTTATTCCAAAAATGATTATCCTAAATTAATCTTCAAATAGGATATCGGCACGGCCAAGCGTTACGGAATTTCATTTTTTCAACTTGTGAGATAAATATCTTCTCAATAACAAGAGCAATGCTTCTGAAATTTTGGGCATCCATAAGGGTAAA